TCGATAATCATTAAATTCTCCTGGAAAAATAAGCCACCAAGGATCAAACTGACTTCACTTCAAAAACCCAAAGCAACAAGCGGACTAGATGCACCACATTTCTGTCATTACTCTCTGGCTAATCAGTTACAGTTCATATACAAATGGACACACCCGAGTCTCTCAGATTACACCTGGTTAGATATGGAAAAAAGCCAATCAATCAAACAGCATCCATGTTTCAAAGTAACAACCACAGCGGACGCTCTGACAGCCTGCTGGAAATTCACGGAAATTTCACCATCTAACTTCACCCCCACCTGGAATAACCCTGACTTTCTTAGCAACAAAAAAAAAAACAACTTTCACTCTTGGGTGTAAAAGGGCATCACACAAATAAAACACATCGTCCATAATAACACCCTGGTGTCATTCCCACACCTGGTCCAGGAGTACGGCATCACGAGTAATCAGTTTCTGGAATATTTACAACTCAAATCCTCTGTACAGTCAAAAAAGAATAGTTCTGCAAATCTGTGCCTTCCAGTGAAACACAGTAATGTGGCATTACAGGGAAAAATGGTCATATTTTACTCGGTACAAATGTCAGTAACGGGCGTCACAATGCATTTTTAACCTGGATTGAAGGTTGAATTGGATTGATTGGTGGGTTTTTCATTTTTCTTCATACAAATTCGCTAAGATCACAGCGATATAAGTGTTGGGACGGGCCCAGAGGTGCGTCGGTCCAACGCAGAGCTCTGCCCCGCATGGGCTTCTCTCAGGGGCGTTCATGGATTCCAAGTCCTAGTCCAAGATTAGTCCTGGTTTAGTCTTGGTTTAGTCCTCCTGGTTCAGTCCTGGTTTAGTCTATATACGGCGCAAAAGTTCGGTGTCTTCGCTCGCTGATTGTTATTTGACAATGAGTGGGGATCTGAGGTAAAGCTCCATTCAAAGTAAATAGTAATAATACAGGTCAGCAGTAAATCATCCGAATAGTCTGTCTACCCCCGCCCTTCCACAGCTGAATAAATTATATACAGCAACCATTCATATATTGCAGCTATTTTCATTTACACACACACACGCGCGCACACACACACACACACATCACCTTTGTTCTTATACGTATGTAATCTTTGATCTTAATGTTTGTCTTGTATCTTGTGTTGTTGTTGTTTGGTTCCTATATTCTGTAATGTATGTAGTTTGCAAAAAATAATAATCTATATCCTGAATCAAGTGAAAAAAAACAAACTTGCACCTCCTTGTCATCTTTTCAAACTGCATTGAAGCCTGATGTTTTATTATTGTGACATGTTTAAAATAAATGTTTCTGCTTTTGGACCTGGATTAAATGTGCTTTAGGAGGGTTTTATGTAAAACAGTCTAGACAGAGCTCACTGAAATGATTTTATGCCCAGGAATAGAGCGCACAGCTAACCCTCTAACCCTCCAACTCTGCTCTGTTGTTTAGATGTGGAAACGTGGCGGCCATCTTGGAGCTGGACGAGCACCTACAGCGAGAGTTTATCATCTTTGAAGCAGCTCCACAAGAGACCAGAGGCATCCCCTCCAAGAAGCCCGTGGCAGACTACTTCCTCTGAGCAGCCCCCCTCCTCTGGGACCCTCTCACCAGCCCTTCCATCTGCTACAGGACACTCCGCACTTGGACTGAGCACCTGCCAGAGCACCTGCCAGAGCCCCTGTCAGACTCAAACTGAAGTGTTACTTTAGCCCCGCCCACAGAGCGCTCACGGAGAGAGCTGGACCTGCCTCTTCTCTTCAGCTTCTTCGGGCGGCCGTCTTGGACCTCCTGTGCGACTAAACCGTGCCCGCATCAACCTGGCTTCCACCGCTCGCTCTTCTAGTATTTTTTCATGAACTTTTTCATTAGTTTAGAAGTATTTTCCTCAGACATATGCAGTTGTAGGCATCATTTACAGTATGTTTTTTGTTTTTTAATTTTTGTATCGTCAGGACAAGTCCTGTTTCTTATGATCTTTTATCGTTGGTTCTTTTTCAGATGTTCTGTGTGATTATTTAACATAGCCAGTGCTGCTGCCCAGCACCACCAGAGGAATACCTGAAGTATAATGAACTGGCCAAACAGTCGCTGTATTCACCATTCTTTTCTCGTAATTCCTTTTATCTACAAGTCTCTGTAGATCTGTCCATTTTGATATTGTGACAATAAAGTTTTTGTATCAATGTTCACTTACTCCACTTTCACTGAGGGCGCATTAAGACTTTATGTGTGAAAAGTGCTCTATAAATAATACATCTCAAAGTGCTTTACAGAGTGCAGTAAACAAGTATGAGAATAAAAGAGAGAAATTACAGTCAGTCAACCAGAAGCTTGTCTAAATAGTGTCATGAGTGAAATGTTCCTCTCCACACCTGAGCATGAATCTGAATTCCAGAGGCGTGTTTTCATAACGGAGTTATTACACAAATGTAAGTCAATGGTGAAGAGAGACGGAGACAAACAAGGAAATTCAAAGTTTGACAGCAGCAACATGACAGAGATATAAATGTCAGATCACCTTTTACAGGGTCGTGTTGCACAGATGGATGGCACAGCCTGTCTGCAGCAGATAACAACTTTGATTTAGAGGCGCAGAGGAAACAGCCCGGGCCTTTTGTTCTTCACTCTGCTAAATGAAAAAGCAAAGCACAGGAACCTCATGATGGATCAAACGGCTGAGCTGCAAGAGCCTGCAGCTAAACGGGCTTTTCAACTACAGACGGGAACACATGACTCTGGCAGTTTGAAGTGCACATCAAGTCTTAACGGGAACTGCATGAACTCTGGTTAACTCTAAATTAACACTTTAATTAAACATCGGCCTATGCACATTGGGAAATGCCGTCAAGCTGAGACTGAACTACCAACCTTTGGGTCAGATGACCACTTCCTTCACCACCTGAGCACCTTTCACCCTTGGTATTTTCCAATCCAAATGTGACAATTGCAAAGATGGGAGAGCAGCTAAAAATCATATTAAAGTAAGAGTAGTAGTAGTAAATAATATTAGGCTACTCTAAGTCAGAGCTGGGACCAAATCATTGTTTTGCGAGTCTCGAGTCTTTGACCTCAAGTCTGAATCAAGTCCCAAGTCGAGTCTCGAGTCACTGGCCTATAAGTCCAAGTCAAGTCCAAGTCGTCTGCTTTGAGTTTCAATTCATTTCAAATTCTTTAAACCAAAAAAGTACCAAATATAGGTTTGACTTTTAAAATAAATTGCACTTACAGTAAATAGTCATGGTATATTTATATATGAGTTGTAGAAATGCAAATTTTTCCTTTTTAAATGTCTTGACAAGAGTGCAAATTATTATGGTCAGAATAGAAAGAATTAAGATTTAAAAGTGCTAAATAACTATAATAATTTATCATGAAGTCTGCACTGAAATAGAAGGATCATGTTCAGTGTAGTTCCCTCTGTTTTACTGTATTGTACTGTATATTACTGCAGTACTTTTACCATTACGTTTACTTCACATTTGAGGATACCGCATCACAGTACTTCAGTTACATCCAAAATAAAAAAAAAAAAAAAAAAAAAGAGAAGTGGGACTGACATGTTCCAGTTTGTTCCTGTAAAATTCAGCACAAATGTAAAGAGAAAAAGTATTTTATAAAAACCTATTTTTAGCAAAAGCATCAAGTCTTCTCAAGTCACATTCTCAAGTCCGAGTCAAGTCCCAAGTTTTTGTCTATTTTATCAAGTCAAGTCTCAAGTCCTAAAAAATAGTGACTCAAGTCTGACTCGAGTCCAAGTCACGACTTCCAAGTCTCTAAGTCTTAAGTAAAAGTACAAAGTAGTGCACCAAAAATGACTCAAGCAAAAGTAAAAAGGTATTTGGGAAATAAACTACAGGTAATTTATCATTTTAAGGTTTGTAATTTGTAATTTGAATGACAAAAAAAATAAAAGGACAGACACAAAAATAAGACAAACTGAATTAGATCTGAAGGAGCTGCACGAAACACAAACATTCAAATCATTTCATAAAGTCACTTAAAGCTTTTGTCACTTTAGACTTACTCACAGTGGGAAGAGGAACTAAAATTTTTACTCAAGTTACAATACTGTTCCTGGAATAAAAATATTACTCAAGTAAGAGTAAAAGTGCTGCTAGAAAAGTACTCTTAAAACTACAATTTCTTCAAAAAGTTATTCAAGTAAATGTAACTATATAAATGCACCAATGTGTATAGTCCTAGTTTAGTCCTGGTTTAGACCTGGTTTAGACCTGAAATAGACCTGGTTTAGTCCTGGTTTAGACCTGAAATAGACCTGGTTTAGTCCTGGTTTAGACCTGGGTTAGACCTAGTTTAGTCCTGGTTTAACCCTAGTTTAGACCTGGGTTAGTCCTGGTTTAGACCTGGTTTAGACCTGAAATAGTCCTGGTTTTAGACCTGGTTTAGACCTGGGTTAGTCCTGGTTTAGACCTGGTTTAGCCCTAGTTTAGCCCTAGTTTAGACCTGGTTTAGTCCTGGTTTAGCCCTAGTTTAGACCTGGTTTAGACCTGGTTTAGTCCTGGTTTAGCCCTAGTTTAGACCTGGTTTAGTCCTGGTTTAGCCCTGGTTTAACCCTAGTTTAGACCTGGTTTAGACCTGAAATAGACCTGGTTTAGCCCTAGTTTAGTCCTGGTTTAGTCCTGGTTTAGCCCTGAAATAGTCCTGGTTTTAGACCTGGTTTAGACCTGGGTTAGTCCTGGTTTAGCCCTAGTTTAGACCTGGTTTAGTCCTGGTTTAGACCTGGTTTAGACCTGGTTTAGACCTGGTTTAGACCTGATTTTAGCCCTAGTTTAGACCTGGTTTAGACCTGGTTTAGACCGAATGCACACATAAAGCATAAAATAAATCAACTTAAACCCATCCGTTTTTTGGGGGGCGACGACAAAACCCGTGACTTGTCTGGTCTCGCGCCGCTCGCCGGACAAGTTCTGGAGCCAGTTTTTCCAGAAGAACCACGGAAGCCTCTCCCTCCCTCCAAACCCTCCCGCCCCCGTGGAAGTGCACGCAGCAGGGAGGCCGAGCTCTGAAAAGCCCCTGCCCCGTCCCCCCCGGTGCCACTACCACCGCCGCGTCCACCGCCACCTTCCTCCGCCGCCTTCCTCCGCCTCTCCTCCGGCCGCCGCCTCTCCTCCTCCCCGTCCGCCCCTTCGGTTCCACGGCGCAAGTGAGTTTTTTTTTTTTTTTTTTTTTTTTTTTACGACGCCACATCCAGCTGCAGCCCGCGTGGAAAATAAATGTCCGACAAATCTCCTGCGTAAAGAGTCTGAGTTGTGTTTTTTTAGGAGGAAAGGTAAGTTTGCGCGCACGTTTTTACGCACATGTCTCTCTCTCGGCGTTATAGGGTGGCCCGATTTTTAACATCCGGGTTGGGATGGTGGGCATAAATAAAATTGTGGAGAAAAAAAAGAAAAGAAAAGAAAAAGGCGTGTAACGTTGAGCATTTCTGGACTCACGTGGGTCAGAGTTTAATCTGAGACTAAATACACGAGCGCAGTCTGCAGGAGTTTGGCGAAACTAATGCGATTTATGCTCCTCTGGTTTAAAACTGAAATAGTCCTGGTTTAGATCTAAAATAGTCCTGGTTTAGAGCAAGTTTAGTCCTGAAGTAGACCTGATGTAGTCCTGGTTTAGACCTGAAATAGACTTGAAATAGTCCTGTTTTAGTCCTGGTTTAGACCTGAAATAGTCCTGGTTTAGTCTTGTTTTAGTCCTGGTTTAGACCTGAAATAGACTTGAAATAGTCCTGTTTTAGTCCTGGTTTAGACCTGAAATAGTCCTGGTTTAGTCTTGTTTTAGTCCTGGTTTAGTCCTGGTTTAGACCTGAAATAGTCCTGGTTTAGTCTTGTTTTAGTCCTGGTTTAGACCTGAAATAGTCCAGGTTTAGACCTAAAATAGACTTGAAATAGTCCTGGTTTAGTCTTGTTTTAGTCCTGGTTTAGACCTGAAATAGTCCTGGTTTAGACCTGAAATAGTCCAGGTTTAGACCTAAAATAGACTTGAAATAGTCCTGGTTTAGTCTTGTTTTAGTCCTGGTTTAGACCTGAAATAGTCCAGGTTTAGACCTAAAATAGACTTGAAATAGTCCTGTTTTAGTCCTGGTTTAGACCTGATTTAGAAGTGGTTTAGACCTAAAATACTCCTGGTTTAGCACTAGTTTAGTCCTGGTTTAGTCCTGGTTCAGTCCTCGTTCACTGCTCGTGAAACAGACCTGAAACAATCCTGGTTTAGCCCTAGTTTAGACCTGAAATAGACCTTATATAGTCCTGGTTTAGACCTGGTTTAGTCCTGGTGTAGATCAAATTGGTCAAAAAATAGGGACATTTCTTGTATAAAACTGGGACAAATCAGTGGTTTTGTATAAATCTGCTGGGACAGAGGACACAGGACTCAAAACTGGGACTGTCCCGGGACTGTCCCGTCTGGTCACCTTATGAAAGATGCATTACATTTTGTATTTTCACAACTGCTGGTGATTTTATTGAGTAAAACACAAGCTCAGTTCTTCCAGTGAGCGGGGGTTGCCTCTCCACAGATGTGATCTATAATCCAATTTGGCCTGGAAGCACCTGCGTCTGCTTGTCTCCATGGAGACGGCCCGGGGTTTAATGCAATACTGTGAAAAGACGAGCAGGTGGTGTATCCTTTGCCAGAAAATTTATTATGCAGATTTAAAATGCTGAGTCACTATGACTCACTAGACCTGGTTAGGCCTGGTTAAGACCTGGTTAAGACATGATTTAATCCTACTTTAGACCTAGTTTAAACCCAGTTTAGACCTATCTTAGACCCGGTATATTTCTAGTCCATCTTTGCTCTCGAGATCAGACTATGGACATTTGTTCGCCTTAATTTTGTCTCTTTGTTGACTTGGCACAGCTCCAGTTCAGACCTAGTTTAGTCCAGGATTAGACCTGATTAAATCCAGGTTTAGACATGGTTTAGGCCTGATTTCGACCCAGTTTAGATCTGTCATAATTCTAGTCCATCTTTGCTCTCGAGACAAAGCTATGGTCATTTGTTCGCCTTAATTTTGTCTCTTTGTTGACTTGACACAGCTCCAGTTCAGATCTGGTTTAGTCCTGGTTTAGACCTAGTTTAGACCTAGTTTAGACCTGTTTTAGACCCAGTTTAGACTTGATTTAGACCCAGTTTAGATCTGGTATAGTTCTAGTCCTTCTTTGCTCTCAAGACCAGACTATGGACATTTGTTCGCTTTAATTTAGTCTCTTTATTAATTATTAATTTATTAATTCCTGGGTTATTTCAGAAAATTGTTCAGTATTTTGCTGAAATTCACTGTAAATAGGCCTGTTCTAGACCAGACCCCTGGTAAATGTACAACCATGACCAGGAATAGAAAGTATCCAGTTACTTGTACGTGCAAAAATACTGTAATTGAGAGTAATTTTAATTTTTTGAGAACATTTTTACACATTGATGCTTGTAATTGAAAATAATCGTGATTATACTAAAGTATTAAAGTCACAATATGTAACTTTTTAACAAATAGAAATAAAGGCGTTGGAGTGAGAAACGAGTTTGCGACTCATTTCTCATGGACATTTTGTTCCTTTGGCTGTAGTATTTATATTTAATAAAGCAGATGACTTACATACTGTACCTTTTAATAACAGGGTGGACTAGGGTGACCAAATTTCCAAAATAAAAGCCTGAGACATTCTTGGTTTCTGGAGGTTAGTATTAATCAAATTGTGAAACGAATACATAATTAAGGAAAAATGTTCTGCACTCGGCTCTAATGTGAGTCAGTATGGTCACATTTTCTTACCGTTTTGGTCGTTTTTAAGCAGCTATTCTGTGTTTTACCAAAACTTTACTGTCTGCAGGTGTCAGATTGGTCAAAAATAGGGACTTCTGTGACCTTTCTTCTATAAAACTGGACAAATCAGTGGTTTTGGATGAATCTGCTGGGTCAGGGGACACTGGACTCAAAACTGGGACTGTCCTGAGTAAATAAGGACGTCTGGTCACCGTAGGTTTACCGATTACAACACACACATGGTCCCTGTCCAGAGATGTTTCACTACTGTTTCTGATTGGCAGGAGCTCTGAGAAAATGTGCCGATAAATGTTGCATAAAACATTTTGCAAGTTTTGTGTACAAGTCTGATAAACCCCCATCCTCCGGAGTTACAAAATTTTCAGTGGTTCTGAAAACTCTCTGATGATGCACTTGTTTCGCAGATGCACATGTACCTTGGTTGTCGTGTGGATATATCGTGTCATGTGGGAGAAGTAACATTTGGCTTTGGAACAAGTGCAGCTGCATCTCTCCAGCTCTCACTGTGGCAGCTCGGGTGGGAGTCCCGCGCCGGGCCGGGGTGGGAGTCCCGCGCCGGGCCGGGGTGGGAGTCCCGCGCCGGGCCGGGGTCGGAGTCCCGCGCCGGGCCGGGGTCGGAGTCCTTAATAAAGAGAGAGCCTGGGGTCACCCAACGGTCTAGGGTGCACCTAAGTCCTCGTTTAGTCCTCGTTTAGTCCTCGTTTAGTCCTCGTTTAGTCCTCGTTTAGTCCTGAGTTAGTCCTGAGTTAGTCCTGAGTTAGTCCTGAGTTAGTCCTGAGTTAGTCCTGAGTTAGTCCTAACCCAGGACAGAGTTTTGGTCCCCTGAGTTTTTGGTCCCCTGAGTTTTTGGTCCCCTGAGTTTTTGGGTCCCCTGAGTTTTGGGTCCCCTGAGTTTTGGGTCCCCTGAGTTTTGGGTCCCCTGAGTTTTGGGTCCCCTGAGTTTTGGGTCCCCTGAGTTTTGGGTCCCCTGAGTTTTGGGTCCCCTGAGTTTTGGGTCCCCTGAGGTTTGGGTCCCCTGAGGTTTGGGTCCCCTGAGGTTTGGGTCCCCTGAGGTTTGGGTCCCCTGAGGTTTGGTCGGAATGTTGACGGATCCGGACGGGTGCAGGTCTCTAAAAATGGACCCGTGCAGGACTCTGGGTCGGGTCACTTTAGTCGTGGGCCTCTTAGCACCGCGTTGATTCATTTTTGGGGTTATCACGACAGCCCGACGATTACTAACTTTGGGTTGTATTTTTCATGCACATATTCACCGTTTTGGCAGCAGTACCTTTTAAACCAGTACATTTTAGCCGTGCAACTTTACTTTTACTTGAGCACAAATATTCAGTACTCTTTCTTTCTTTCTTTCCACCCTGCTCATAGTGACGTGTATTGATGGAGTTTGTGTGTCTGTGTGTGAAATGCAGAGGGACCAGAGCGGCGGCAGGTTCAGGTTCTGACTGAGCTCTGAGTCATGGAGCCTGTTGCTGCTGCTGCTTCTCTGCTTCTTATCGACACTATTGGGAAGGTTACTTTTAAAATGTAATCCCCTACAGATTACAGATTACATACCCAAATACCAAAATGTAGTTTGTAACAGAATCCATTAAATTACTTAAAGTGAGTAATGTAATCTGAATACTTTGGATTACTTGATATTGTCGTGCTTTTTAAAATGACATGAATGTACCAACCACATCCTGAAAATTCTTGTTGGTTGTCTTCAAATTGTCTGTTGAGCCCAAGTCTCCATGAACAGACTTTTGTTTACTGTAAACTGTAAACAGATAATGATTCGTTTTTTCAGTTTGAGATTTTGTGTTTAAATGAAAAATGGAAAAAACTGATAACGACCGTTTCCTGTTTACGTGACTTAAACTGCGATGCCGGAGTGAACCAGGACTGAACCAAGTCTAGGACTGAGACCGGGACCGGGAGTGGGACTGAAAACGAGACCGGGAGTGGGACTGAAAACGAGACCGGGAGTGGGACTGAAAACGAGACCGGGAGTGGGACTGAAAACGAGACCGGGAGTGGGACTGAAAACGAGACCGGGACTGGGACTGAAAACGAGACCGGGACTGGGACTGAAAACGAGAGCAGGGCCAGACCGAGAGCGGAGCCAGACCGAGAGCGGGGCCAGACCGAGAGCGGGGCCAGACCCTGACCGGGTCCAAGAGCGGGACCAGACCCCGACCAGGACCGGGAACAGATCAAGACTGAGACCGGGAACGGATCAAGACTGGGACCGGGACGGAGACCGCAACAGGGACCGCGACAGGGACCGCGACAGGGACCGCGACAGGGACCGGGACAGAGACCGGGACAGAGACCGGGACAGAGACCGGGACAGAGACCGGGACAGAGACCGGGACAGAGACCGGGACAGAGACCGGGACCGAAAATGTTTAGTCCTGGTTTTAGTCCTGTTTTTGTCCATATGCGTCACAAAAGTCCGGCATCGCAGTTTAAGTCACTGTTTTTTCCATTTTTCATTTAAACACAAAATCGAAAACTGAAAAAACAAATCGTTATCCGTTATCAGCTGGATATATAGTTTATTTTGAAAACATTTATGTTTTTCTGCCTTATTTCATGTTCAGTATATTTTATTCATTTTATTATTTTATACATCACAGAACTGATCTAAGTTTCATATTTGTAGCCTATATGTATTTGAAATTTGAAAGTATTGTGTAAATTATCAATAACAAAGTGATTTTTTTTTGAGAGAGAAATGCTGAATAAATGCATTGTGTAACAAAAAAATAATCATTTGAATAATTGTGATTTCAATATTGACCAAAATAATCGTTATTGTGATTTTTTTTTTTCCATATTCGAGCAGCTCTACTCTGAACAGAATCACACAGAAATCGCAAAGGCAATTCTCAAAAAAATCTCAATTCCGTTTTGTTTTTTTCCACATTTGTGCCGCTCTAGCTCGGAGTTTTTCCGCTGTCAGAGCAGAGAAGAGCTGTTAGAATTTACGATGAGGCCAGACTCGTGACTCCACTTCTGTAAACTGATCTTTTCAAACCTCGTCGTCCTGGTCCAACTAGAAAAAAGGAAAGACGTATCGTTATGGATGTTCCTCGTATTTTTCCATCGAATCTGCAATTGCGTCATTTTCTCCCACACCCATTTTTCAACCTTTTCAACCCCCTCGTTGGCCTGATTCTTCATGGAAACCGTCTGACCTTGCAGTGTTAAAATTCGTTTGCTCGACGATTTTCTGGTGTTAGACTAGTGCATGTCAATGGCCATAGTTATCCTGACACTAAAAACACCCGAAGCAAATCTATTATTACACCAGACTGTCGATGTGAACGTCTGTGTTGATAGTAGGAATGGGCATGATCAGTCGACTAATCGATAATTGATCTTTAAGAATTTCGTCGATTACGTTCATTTCTAATCGACAACCCGAATGTAGGTTTCTGTGCGTAGATATGAAGCTGCGTGTCACAGCGCAGACACTGGAGTTTTGGTCTCAGTCCCACATTTGGGCTGTGGTACCTCCTTGGAGACATTGTACCTCTCAGTGAGTGTGTTTACTTGCACATCTGTGTCCCGGTTTCGTCGTGGTGCATGTAAACGCAGTGTCCCGGTTACTACAACATAAAGAGCTGCGCTAAACCTGCACACGTACGATCTTTGAAAACATCGCGACTAGGGATGGGCATTCGATTAAATTTTCTTAATCGTCGAGATCATGTACCTTCATCAACTGTTCAAAGATGGAATAACACAAGATATGATGAAATACATCCATTTATTTACATGATTTGCAGGTCTTTGAAATTTGGGAAATAATTTTTGTTCCATGTTTCATACATGGTCTGTTTAAAACGTATGGAACTTTACAACCAAAAATGGTACAGAAAAAAGGTCAACAGTTTCATAAACTAGAGCACATATGTATCTGTTCAATACATTTTTATATCAGATGCATTAACTTCAATTTTTGGCCTTGTTGTTTACTTCTGCTTGACCGGGTCCATATATATGTGTACGTGTGTATGTATGTATATATGCATATATATATTATTTTGTTTTATTATTTTTTTTTTTTCTTGTTTTGTTATTATTAGCTTTTTTTTGTTCAAGCTTGATCATTTCTATAATATATTATGTACAGTGACTTTGTTTACTTTTAGAAAAGGAGAAAGGGGATTATAATTGACGTGCTGTGTCAATGTACGATATATTTTGTTCCTTTGTTTCCAATTAACTTTAATGAAAAAAAACCCTAAAAAAAAACCTAGAAAAACAGGGATTCTGTCGCCTCTCCACAGATCTGACCTGTAACTTGACCTAGGGCGACCAGACATCCCTTTTTACCAGCAGATTTGTCCCAGTTTTGTACAAGAAATGACACGTGAGGAAGAGCGCAGGGAGCAGTCGAAACTGTCGGGCATGAAAACAAACCCTTGATCTGAAAAAAGAATCTAATAACATAGAGTTTATCTGTGTTTTTACTCAGGTTTGACATAAACTAAATATGTACTTTTGCTTTTGGTCTGCGCTTGTCAAGACATTCGGCCCTAATCTCGAGTCAGGTCGGGTGAAGCCTTCTCAGTTTTCTCAGTTTACTTCCTGTCGGTCGTTCTGTGACGACGTGTTTATCCTGTGCAGCCTAATCTTCTATTGTGTCCTTGTCTCACTGTTGTACTGCGCTGATAATGCTCTCTGACTTTATGTTTGGGTCAAGTCTGTGTAAACGTTTAAAAAAATGCACAGCACGCTCAGATGGCCGACGTCCCAAAGCTTTTTTTATTTTAACTTCTTAGGTTCTTTTTAAAGACAATATGGTGAAGTGTATTTACTTTGTTGGGGATGTGTTGTGTATCAGCTGTTACTTCCTGTTTTGTTTTGGGGTTTTTTAAATAACGTTTCGGCAAAAAAACTTCATCACATCATTTTTCTTACTTTGGAAAACTGTGTACAAGACTTAGACTTTTAGACTTTAGGCCCTCTTGGAGCTGTATAAGCCTGGTACAAGAATGTATTTATAAAGTTATAAATAAACTAGGACTAAACCAGGTCTAAATCAAGTCTAAACCAGGTCTAAACTAGGACTGAACCAGGACTAAATAAAGACTAAACAAGGGCTAAACCAGGGCTGAAACATGGCTGAACCAGGACTAAACATGATCCTAACCTGGTTTAATACAGAACTAAACCATGACTAAATCTGCATTGAACCAGGTCTGAACCAGGTCTGAACCAGGTCTGAACCAGGTCTGAACCAGGGCGAAACCAGGGCTGAATCATGGCTGAATCATGGCTGAACCAGGGCTGAACCAGGGCTGAACCAGGGCTGAACCAGGGCTGAACCAGGGCTGAACCAGGGCGAAACCAGGGCGAAACCAGGGCTGAATCATGGCTGAATCAGGACTAACCAGGATTAAACATGATCCTAACCTGGTCTAATACAGAACTAAACCATGACTAAATCTGCATTGAACCAGGTCTGGACCAGGTCTGGACCAGGTCTGGACCAGGTCTGAACCAGGGCGAAACCAGGGCTGAATCATGGCTGAACCAGGGCTGAACCAGGGCTGAACCAGGTCTGGACCAGGTCTGGACCAGGTCTGAACCAGGTCTGAACCAGGGCGAAACCAGGGCTGAATCATGGCTGAACCAGGGCTGAACCAGGTCTAAACCAGGGCGAAACCAGGGCGAAACCAGGGCTGAACCAGGGCGAAACCAGGGCGGAACTAGGGCGAACCAGGGCTGAACCAGGGCGAAACCAGGGCGGAACTAGGGCGAAACTAGGGCGAAACCAGGGCTGAATCATGGCTGAATCAGGACTAACCAGGATTAAACATGATCCTAACCTGGTCTAATACAGAACTAAACCATGACTAAATCTGCATTGAACCAGGGCTGAACCAGGTCTGGACCAGGTCTGGACCAGGTCTGGACCAGGTCTGGACCAGGGCGAAACCAGGGCTGAAACCATGGCTGGGCTGAATCATGGCTGAATCATGGCTGAACCAGGGCTGAACCAGGGCTGAACCAGGTCTGAAACCAGGTCTAAACCAGGATTGAACCAGGATTAAACATGATCTTAACCTGGACTAATCCAGAACTAAACCCTGACTACATCTGCATTGAACCAGGTCTAAACCAGGTCTAAACCAGGTCTAAACCAGGTCTAAACCAGGTCTAAACCAGGTCTAAACCAGGATTGAACCAGGACTAAATAAAGACTAAACAAGGGCTAAGCAAGGGCTGAATCATGTCTGAACCAGGACTAAACATGATCTTAATCTGGACTAATCCAGAACTAAACCCTGACTAAATCTGCATTGAACCAGGACTGAACCAGGACTAAACCAAGGCTAAACAAGGGTGAATCACAAATAAACATGATCTTAACCTGGTCTAATCCAGAACCAATCCAGGTCTAAACCAGGTCTAAACCAGGTCTAAACCAGGACTAAACCAGGACTAAACCAGGACTAAACCAGGACTAAACCAGGACTAAACCAGGTCTAAACCAGGACTAGACCAGGACTAAACATGATCTTAACCTGGACTAATCCAGAACTAAACCCTGACTACATCTGCATTGAACCAGGTCTAAACCAGGTCTAAACCAGGTCTAAACCAGGTCTAAACCAGGTCTAAACCAGGACTAAACCAGGACTAGACCAGGACTAAACATGATCTTAACCTGGACTAATCCAGAACTAAACCCTGACTACATCTGCATTGAACCAGGACTAAACCAGGTCTAAACCAGGTCTAGACCAGGACTAAACATGATTTTAATCTGGACTAATCCAGAACTAAAGTCCCCAAGGGGAAATATATTTTCACGCACACAGACAACAGTTCGTGGAAACCGTCTGACCTCAGCATTAGAATTCGATCGCTCAGCTGCTGTGGTTTTCCGAAATCGTTCACCCCTAATTTGAATAAATACTGACAAAAATCCCATAAATGACACAACTGAACCTTTCCTGATCTTTGTGTGTTTCTGCCCTTGTGCCCTTTAGCCTCGTCCCAGTCCCCGCACACAGACCAGAGCCCGGCACGAGCATGGAGTCCCACAGTGCGATGCTGCAGAGACTCAGGACCTCCTTCCAGTCCGGGGTCACCGTTCCCGAGAAGTTCAGACGCGCCCAACTCAACCAACTCCTGAGTCTGCTCCAGGAGAACGAGCAGAGGATCCTGGAGGCGCTGCACAAAGATCTGGCCAAGGTTCGTCCAACGTTTTAATCTGATCTGATGTAGTTCTGTTTCCTCGTCACAAACAGACCTGGAGAATCTGTGAAAACCAAAAATAAGAAAACAAAAATCAACAATTTTCTTCATTATTTGTCTCCAAAACCGTTTCAAGTTTACGTGACTTCCGTGACTGCAATGCCGGACTGAACCAGGACTGAACCAGGACTGAACCAGGACTGAACCAGGACTGAACCAGGTCCGGGACCAGAGCGGGACTGAGACCGAGAGCGGACCAAACCGAGACCGGGACTGAGACCGGGACTGAGACCGGGACTGAGACCGGGACTGAGACCGGGACTGAGACCGGGAGCTCAGAGCCCATGGCAGGGCTGGAGCTCGAAGCTGAGGCTCGGACCCCGCGGAGGCTCAGAGTCAAAGCTTGGAGTCTGCCCAGGGTCCCGGTCTCAGTCTCGTTCTGGTCCCGCCCTGGCCCTGCTCTGGTTCTGGTCTGGTCCCAGACCTGGATCCGTCCTGGTTCAGTCCGTATGCAGCTCAAAAATCCGGCGTCGCAGTCACGGAAGTCACGTAAACGGTTGTTATCCGTTTTTTCCATTCTTCATTTAAACACAAAATCGAAAACTGAAAAAACGAATCATTATCTGTTTTTTAATTTTGGTTTTGGAGACAAATAATGAAGAAAACTGTAGTTTTTTTTCGTTTTCATATTTTTGGTTTTATATTGAAAAACTTTTTTTTGTTTAAATGCTGCTTTGTGCCTGTGTAATGCTTGGACTTGTAATAAAATCTAATCAGCAAGTTTCAAAGGAGAAATTACTCCATTGTTTCTCCTTTTAAACCTGCTGATTAGACATTATAGAGATCATTTCCCGTTTGCATTTTCATTTCACAGACACCAACTTTCACTGTAGCACACATCAGTACAAACAGTTGTGTTCAGAATCTCTGTCTTTAAAACAAATCTCCAAACTTCTGACCCACAAATGTTGCACCTTTTATAATTATTTGGGAGTGGCTCAAGAAACCTGTCATGTTCATCTGGTGGTTTAAAGTCCTTTCAGCTCGAAACAGTCACGTCTGGGATTGTACAATGGCACCAGTTTCTGAATTATGTAATAATTGAGTATTAACCATTTAAGGAAAGGGAAGGAGAGTTTATTTGTGCAGCACAGTTTGTACACAAAGTAATTCAAAGTGCTTTACAGAATAAGAAATGCATAAAATCACAATGCAAACAAATCAAAACATAAATAATAAGACAGAAGAGCGCAGAATGAGAAGCTTTCAGTCATATGCAGCGAAAATAGAGATCAGACAATGAAGCAGGGTGACCAGACGTCCCAATTTACCCGGGACAGTTCCAGTTTTGAGCCCTGTGTCCCCTGTCCCAGCAGATTTATACAAAACCACTGATTTGTCCCAGTTTTATACAAGAAATGTGCCTGGTGTCCATATTTTTGACCAATCTGATCCCTGCCAACAGTAAAAAGAGGCATACATTGGAATTTGTTTAAGTAAAATAAAGAAAAGCTGCTTCAAAATGACCAAAACACAAAGAAAATGTGACTATACTGACTCACGTTAGAGCAGAGTGCAGAACAGTTTTTCTTAATTACACACTTGTTTCACAGTTTTATTATCACCAACCACCACAAACTGATAATTACCTGTTTCTATACTGGTGATTATATGTGTTTAATTTCATTAATGCTGAATAATGCTCTGTAAAGCATCGTTGGGGACAGAAAATGTCTGAAAAGCGCTATATAAATAAAGACTTACTTAATTTGTTGAGTCGGGGAGAGAGAAAGAAAGAGTCAGAGTCTGGGAGAAAGAGAGAAAAAGAGTCGGAGAGAGACAAAACAAGTCGGAGAGTTGGGGGGAGAGAGAAAGAGAGTCGGGGAGAGAGAGAATGAGAGTTGGGGGGGAGAAAGAGAATTGGGAAGAGAGAAGGAAAGAGTCGGGGCAGAGAGAGAGAAAGAGGGAGTCGGGGGAGAGAGAAAGAGTCGGGGGGGGGGAAGAGAAAGAGAGGGGGAGAGAGAGTCGGGGATAGAGAGAAGAGAGAGAGTCAGAGAGAGAAAAGAGAGAGAGAGTCAGAGAGAGAGTCGGGGAGAGAGAAAGAGTCGGGGGGGGGAGAGAGAGAGAGAAAGAGAGAGTCGGGGGGGAGAAAGGGAGTCGGGGGAGAGAGAGTCGGGGATAGAGAGTCAGAGAGAGAGTCGGAGAGAGAGAGAGAAAGAGAGAGAGAGAGTCGGGGAGAGAAAGAGAGAGAGTCGGATAGAGAGAGAGTTGGATAGAGAGAGAGAGAGAGTTGGATAGAGAAAGAGAGAGAGAGTCGGATAGAGAGAGAAAGAGAGAGTTGGATAGAGAGAGAGAGAGAGTTGGATAGAGAGAGAGAGAGAGAGTCGGGGGTAGAGAGAGAGAGAGTCGGGGAGAGAGAGAGAAAGAGAGAGAGTTGGATAGAGAGAGAGAGTCGGGGGGAGAGAGAGAGAGAGTCAGGGAGAAAAAAGGAGATGGAGAGTCAGAGAGTTGGGGAGAGAAAGCGTCAGAGAGAGAGAGTAAGAAAGAGTCGGGGAGAGAGAGAGAAGGAAAGAAAGAAATGTGTATGTGTTTAATTTGCATATTTTTTTCCGCCACAGCCTAAATTCGAAGCGGTTTTATCCGAGATGGACATCGTCATTAATGAGGTGCACTTCGCTCTGTCCAACCTGAGGAGCTGGATGCAGGACGAGCACGTGACCAAAACTCTGGTGAGATACTTTTACTTTTACCTTGACCTTTTGCTTTATAATACCGCAGAATGCTCCGTGTTTGTTCTGATGGTTCTCCGTGACGTTCTGTTCTTCTTTTTTTTCTTCTTCCAGGCGACAAAAGTGGACGAGTGCTACGTGCGCAGGGAGCCTCTCGGGGTGGTGCTCATCATCGGGCCGTGGAACTACCCCATACACCTCCTGCTCCTGCCACTAGTGGGGGCTATCGCTGCAGGTAAGGGATTGTTTTATGGAGACGAGGATAGAGAAAGAATGAGAGAGAGAGGGAGTCAGAGAGGGGGAGAGAGAGGGAGCTGGAGAGAGGATGTGGCGGGGAAAGAAAGTAAGAGTCGGGGAGAGAGAAAGAAGGGTCAGAGAGAAAGAGAGAGGAGAGTCTGGGAGACGGAGAGAGAGAAAGGAGAGTCTGGGAGATGGAGAGAGAGAAAGGAGAGTCTGGGAGATGGAGAGAGAGAAAGGAGAGTCTGGGAGATGGAGAGAGAGAAAGGAGAGTCTGGGAGACGGAGAGAGAGAAAGGAGAGTCTGGGAGATGGAGAGAGAGAAAGGAGAGTCTGGGAGATGGAGAGAGAGAAAGGAGAGTCTGGGAGATGGAGAGAGAGAAGGAGAGTCTGGGAGACGGAGAGAGAGAAAAGAGTCGTCTGAGAGGGAGAGAGAGAGAGTGAAGAGTCTGGGAGGGAGGGAGAGAGAGAAGAGTCTGGGAGATAGAGAGAGGGAGAAGAGAGTCTGGGAGACGGAGAGAGAGAAAGGAGAGTCGTCTGAGAGGGAGAGAGAGAGAGAGTGAAGAGTCAGAGAGAGAGAGAGAGAGAGAGAGTGAAGAGTCAGAGAGAGAGAGAGAGAGTGAAGAGACTGAGAGAGAGAGAGAAAGTCTTCTGGGAGGGAGAGAGAGAGTGAAGAGTCTGGGAGATGGAGAGAGAAAGGAGAGTTGTCAGAGAGAGAGGGAGAGGAGAGTCTGGGAGATAGAGAGAGAGAAAGGAGAGTCTGGGAGATAGAGAGAGAGAGAAAGGAGAGTCTGGGAGATAGAGAGATAGAGAGAGAGAAAGGAGAGTCTGGGAGAGAGAGAGAGAGAAAGGAGAGTCTGGGAGATAGAGAGAGAGAGAAAGGAGAGTCTGGGAGATAGAGAGAGAGAGAGAGAAAGGAGAGTCTGGGAGATAGAGAGAGAGAGAGAGAAAGGAGAGTCTTCTGGGGGAGAGAGAGAGAAAGAGTCATCTGGAGAGAGAGAGAGCGAAGAGTCGGGGAGACGGAGAGAAGGAAAAGTCTGGGAGACGGAGCGAGAGAGGAGAGTCGGGGAGACAGAGCGAGAGAAGAGTCGGGGAGATGGACAGAAAGAAGAGCCTGGAAGATGGAGAGAGAAAGAAGAGTCGGGGAGAGAGAAGAGTCGGGGGAAAGAATACAGGGAAAGGGAGAGGATGAGAGAGACAGGAGAAGGAGAGGAAGAGAGGATGGGCAGGAGACGAGTGAGAGAAGTAGAGAAGGAGAAGGGGGAGAGGAGTGACAAAATGGAAGAGAAAATAAATCCTCTCTCATCTATTTCTATGATGTGCAGCACTTTGTAAATTCATTACTTATTAACTTAATTTTACATGTTTAAAATTATACTTTTTCAGGTGAATTTTCCTTTTTAAACTGAATTGCAAATCAAGTCTAATCTCAAACACAAACACATTTTTAGAACTTTATTAGTCTGTCAAACAGAAACCAGACTTTGTTTTTGTTTTGTTTCCGTCTCGTGCTTCCTGTCTCTGTTGCATGTCTTCTGAGTCAGCAGGGGCCTCTGACGCTGCTTGCGGTTGTAATTCTCTAATCTAGTGTTTTGGTGCAGGAAACTGTGTGGTCATCAAACCGTCAGAAGTGAGCTCTGCGGTGGAGGCTGTGATCGCTGAACTTGTACCCAAATACCTGTCACAGGTAAAAAAAATAAAACAAAACACTGATACAATCTTTGACACGATCACAGACGGAGATTAAACACAATCGTCTTTGGGTTTTTTTTTTTTTTTTTTGATTTTTCAGGACTGTTTCGCTGTGGTGTGTGGAGGAGCAGAGGACACACAGGCTCTGCTGAAAAATAAATTCGACCACATCTTATACACAGGTGACCACACACACAAAACACAAAAAACGCACACAAAAAAACGCACACAAAAAAACGCATACAAAAAGACAAAAAAAAGCACACAAAAAAACGCACAAAAAAACACAATAAACGCACACAAAAAACACAATAAACGCACACAAAAACACAAAAAAAACGCACACAAAAAAACGCACAAAAAAACACAATAAACGCACACAAAAAAAACCACACAAAAACACAAAAAATGCACACAAAAACAAAAAAACACACACAAAAACACAAAAAACCCCACACACACTCAAAAACATACACTCAAAAACACAAACACACACACAAACATGCACTCCAAAACACACACAAACACACACACAAAAACACACACAATCAAGGGTCAAAATTGTTTATGGGGAAATGTTGATTGCCTAAAAATCACCAGCCAAATAGATCTTTTTCACAATGGCCGAAAGTGTCCCGAAAGTGTAGGTTTGTGGGACTTCCAGTTAACGGAATTCAAAATCACAGAGGCCAAAATTAAAAACTGGGACTAAGTCGTGGGCCAAACTAAATATTTATTGAAACATTTCAACAATATCTGCATGTTTTCTCTTCTTTCGAGATCTGTAATGTTAAAACTTTTCTTATTAAAATAAATGTTTAATAATAGTTTTGCTTAAACATTGAATCCAGAACAAGCAGAATATAAAATAACAACTACATTTTAAATGTCTCTATAGTCTGTCTGTAGCCAGCAGGCAGCTCTAATATGTATTTGATATGATTTCGCGGGACAAATATAATTATATTGTGGGTCAAATTTGGCCCCTGGGCCTGAGTTTGACATGTTTGTTATCTGGAATCAATTTTGAATGAAATAGTTCTAAGAACGTGCAAAAAAGTATAAATCAAAATACCAAAAAAAAATAAATAAAAATTATTTTAAAAAGTTAAATAAACAATTTTGCTAATTATTTGTATAATTGTGTAAAATATCTGTCTTTGGCTCTTTGGAAACATTTGCTTTTGTCTTTCTGAGTTTTGTTTGGTACCATTTTCTTTTGTTATGATTCCAGCCTTCTAATTTGAGCTCCCAAAAAGTGAAGGAGCGCAAATCAGAGAGCTAGAATCATAAAAATTCACACAAAGTAATAACTAAAAAACAAAACGGGATCAAACAAAACTGAGAAAGAACAGAACAAAACTAAAAGACACAAAGACGGATATTGTACATGATTACACAAATAATTTGATTGCAATTTTATTTATTTTGTGTTTTGGTATTTTGATTTTATAATTTTTTGCTTGATGTTTTTTAAAGCGTTCTTTAAGTAAGTTTTTATTTATATAGCTCTTTTCACAGACATACAGTATGTCACAAAGATGTTTTACAGAACATTATTCATTCACTCCATACTTTGTGGTGTAAGCTACTATTGTAGCCACAGCTGCCCTGGGACAGACTGACAGAAGCATGGCTGTCAATCAGTGCCAACGGTTCCCCCCGACCACAACAACACACACACACACACACACACACCACTTTCATATTCATACTAGGCAATGTGGGTGAAGTGTCTTGCCTAAGGACACAATGACAATTTTTGCGTCTGGCGCCCCCCTGTGGCTCCTGATTTTCCCTGTGTCTCCATCCAAGTACTAACAGGATCAGGTTTTGACAAGTATGGCCAATATGACTCAAAATTGATTCTATATATTTATATTATTTACATTTTATAGACAAAATAAAAAAAATAAAACTGTCTTCTGTGTTTTTATTTTGTATATAAATTGTACATAATGTAAATACTTTTGGCTGCGGTGACCCAATGCACCATTTTAAAACAGAGTGACCTCTATTTACTAAAGATTCCATTCAGCAATTTTAATCAAATTTTTTTTCTTTTATTGGATCAATCACATGGGTCTGGAGACTGGACCTGGATCTATATTTATAAAACGGGTGCGAAAAAACTCAAACTTTCATGTGTGAAGAAGGGTTTGACCTGAAACATCACAATTTGTTTTGTTGAAATAAAAAATAGAAGAACTGGATTGCGGATCTCTTTCCTCTTTCCTCCAGGAATATATACCGTATTTTCTGCACTATTAGGCGCTCTGGATTATAAGGCGCACTGTCATTAAATGGTCTATTTTCGAACTTTTTTCACAAATAAACAGCACTGGACTTTAAAGGAAACACAACAGTGTGATGGGTGAGTGGTTTTGTTTGTTTGTTCGTTCACGGTGACTCTGGGTTTTGTTCAGTTGTGGCGTGTAGGGAGGGTGCTGTCTGGGACCAACGGATTGTTCAGTCGTGTCTAGAAGTGGCACATTGCACACTTTTTCGGTTCGTTCCTCCGTTCCGTTCCTCGTCGGCGTGGAGTGATGAGTGTGTCTGTGGGTGTTTTTCACTGCGCGGTCGCTGTCTGCTCCGTGCGTGTTTGCGAGTTCTGCGGGTCGTTTTTTGATGGGGTTGGAGGCTTATGGTGTGGAAAATACGGTAATTTAGGTTATTTTAACTCGCATAGATATTGTTTTTTTTGCCAGTGGATTTCTGACCAGTAAACTCCAGAAACTGTGAAACGCACCGAGCAAAGCGAAGCAAAAACACCTCCACGCTGTCTGCTCCGTGTGTGTTTGCGTGCGCTGCGGGTGGTGCAGCTTTGTAGTTTACTGAAGTCGCGCTGGGACACCGGAGTGGATTCGTGTATGTGGCGCTCTGGATTGTGGGGCGCGCGGTTGTTTTTTGATGCGATTAGAGGCTTAAGAGCGCGTCTAATAGCCCAGAAAATACGGTAGTCTTAAAAATAAACAATAAAATGTCTCGAAATCTAAAAAAGTCTGTTCTGATCTCACCGCTTTCACCTCTGTCCCACAGGCTCTCAGTCGGTGGCCCGTTGTATCCTCCAGGCGGCCGCTCCTCACCTGACGCCCGTCACCCTGGAGCTGGGCGGGAAGTGCCCCTGCTTCATCCATCACCGGGTGGACCCGCTGGCGGCCGCGCGCAGACTCGCCTGGGCCAAGTACTTCAACGTGGGCCAGAGCTGCGTGGCCCCCGACTACGTCCTGTGCACGGAGGAGACGAGGGACGCCCTGGTGACCGCTCTCAAACAGGTCCTCTTCGAGTTCTACGGCGAGGAGCCCCAGAAGTGCCCCGACATGGCCCGCATCATCTCCGCCAAACACTGGACCCGGCTCATGGGGCTGCTGGGGAAGAGCAAAGGGAAAGTGGTGCTGGGAGGAGAGAGCGACGAGGCCGACAAGTACATAGGTGCGTGTACGTGGAGTAAAGCTGCACTGTGTAACTTTTCTGGTGGAGGGTCCGTCAAACGCTTTAACATGAGAGCTTTAATTCTGACTAAAAATGAATTCCGCTTTAAAATGATCATGTAAACACTTAATTCCCAAAGAAAATGATTATTCAGAATTAAACTTAAGCGGGTGAGTGGTTTATTCCGCTTTTAAAGCCGTATTATTTTATTCCTCGATCATGTGGACGTTTATTCTCCTTTTAAAAATAATTCCGGGCAGCGGAGAAACACAGTCGTTACGGTTCGACTCGACAGGACACCGGCGTTTTGCAGACACCCTCTCAGGGCCACTCCTAGATTCCTAGTGCTGGTTCAGTCCTGGTTCAGTCCTGGTTCAGTCCTGGTTCAGTCCTGGTTCAGTCCTGGTTCAGTCCTCCTGTTTAATTCTCCTGGTTTAGTCCTCCTGGTTTAGTCCTCCTGGTTTAGACCTGGTTCAGTCCTGGTTTAATCCTGGTTCAGTCCTCCTGGTTTAGTCCTGGTTCAGTCCTCCTGGTTTAATCCTCCTGGTTTAGTCCTGGTTCAGTCCTCCTGGTTTAGTCCTCCTGGTTTAGTCCTCCTGGTTTAGACCTGGTTCAGTCCCCGGTTCAGTCCTCTGTTCAATCCTGGTTTAGTCCTCAGTTCAGTTCTCAGTTCAGTCCTCGGATCAGTTCTGGTTCAGTCCTCAGTAATACAGTAATATTTTGATGTAACAAATTACTTTAAAGTGACAGTAATAAGTCATAAATAACACGTTACAGTTTTGAAGTAACTTGCCCAACAGTGGTCATACTGCGGAACATTCCAGACAGAGCAATGACATTCATAGGAACAAGGAGGTGACGGAGCCCAAAACTAAACAGTTATCGTTCACCTGACACTTTTTTAATGCTGGTATAAAGAGCTCCCGACCTGACCCTCTCTCCTCTGTCCCGCCGCAGCTCCCACGGTGCTGGTGGACGTGTCCGAGGACGACGCTCTGATGCAGGAGGAGATCTTCGGGCCCCTGCTGCCCTTCATCACCGTGAGCTCTGTGGACGAGGCCATAGCCTTCATGAACAGACAGGAGAAGCCCCTGGCCCTCTACGTCTTCTCCGATGACTCCAGCGTGAGTGGACAGAGCCGGTGCCGGAGCTCGTACAGACCTCGCGGCGTTCTGTGATGTTCGTGTTCTTATTGCGCGTTTGCTCCGCAGATCGTCAACACGGTCCTGGAAAAGACGAGCAGCGGGGCGTTCTGCTCCAACGACGGCATCATCCACATGACCCTGCCCGGTTTGCCTTTTGGAGGAGTGGGTACGTGAAGAGGGCTGAGGAGGAGGAACTTTTATTCACGTTTTTTTAGGATAATTTGTTTTTTTAAATTACAAAAAAAGCAATACTAGAATAGAAGACTTAGTTGGATATGGAGAACATACAAATGCACTTTTTTTTTTGCCAAAGATACAGAAATTTGGGTAAAATTTTAAACATGCCAAATCTTTTTTTAAAGTGAAACTCAAGCCTGCTCCCAGAAGATATTCAAAAACTGTTCTGCAAAACTGTTTTGATTTGTAGTGCTGCAAAATGACCAAATCTTCTACTACAACTACTACAACTACTACTGCTACTACTAGTTCTACTTTCACTTCTACGCTTCTACTACTACTTCTATTATCACTACTACTACTTCTATTATCACTACTACTACCACTACTATTACTACAACTTCTAGTTCTACTTTCACTTCTAGTACTACTTCTACTATTACTACTACTTCTTTTAATACTGCTACTTCTACTTCTACTTTCACTACTACTACTACTTCTATTTGTTCTACTACTACTACGTCTTTCACTACTGCTACTTCTACTTCTATTTGTACTGCTTCTACTACTACTTCTATTTGTACTGCTTCTACTACTACTACTACTACTACTACGTCTTTCACTACTGCTACTTCTACTACTGCCTCTACTATTTCTACTACTTTCACTACTACTACCACCTCCTACTACTACCACTACTACCACCTACTACTATCGCCTACTACTCCTTTTACTACTTTCACTTCTACTACAATATTGTACACTCCAAATATTAAATGAAAGTTAAATAAACTCTTAATTGTTGTTTTGAAGAAATACCTTAGCAATAGTTTAGTTTTATTTTAGACATGGTTCTACCCTAAATTAGACCTTGAATAAACATGTTCTGGACTAAAACTGAAAGAATGTGAGCACTAGATGTTGTGTATTTTTCAGCGCGTACTCTTTGACTCGTTTCCCGCAGGTGCCAGCGGCTTTGGGAGCTACCACGGGCGCTGGGGCTTCGAGACGTTCAGCCACAAGAGGGCGGTGGTGCTGCGCGGCTGGGCCCTGGAGCGCATCAACGGCCTCAGGTATCCCCCGTTCACCGACAACAAACTGAGCTGGCTCCGCTGGACCGCCTCCCCCAAGAGCTGCTCCATCATGTGACCTCCCCCCCACCCCCCCACCTCTGACGCCGTTTACTGACCCGACTTTTAAGGTTTGGCGCTTAGATGGTAGGCTCCGGAGGGACAGAGGTGAGCACGTTGCCATGGTGATTTTCTGTGTACCTGTTGCTATGAACCGGCCGTAAAACAGTTAAAAGTTTATTTTGGATCGTTTTAGGTTTTTGAAGTTGAAATTTCGCGAACCCAACGTACGCTGTAGTCTTGACTGACAAAAGGTGCGCTACGGAACTTTTCTAGTGACTACTTGTCTCCATGGAAATGTTTTTGAATGTTCCACAGTACGGCATTAAACTTACTTCTATGTACTCTACTACTACTTCCACTACTATTACTATTACTACTGCTACTACTTTCACTACTATTACTACTGTTACTACTTTCACTACTATTACTGCTACTACTACTAGTACTCCCTTTACTACTACTACTGCTACTGCTACTACTACTACTACTACTACTTCCACTACTATTACTATTGCTACTACTTTCACTACTATTACTGCTACTACTACTAGTACTCCCTTTACTACTACTACTACTGCTACTACTACTAGTGCTTTTACTGCTACTACTAGTACTAGTGCTTTTACTGCTACTAGTACTAGTACTAGTACTTTTACTGGTACTGCTACTACTACTTCTGCTACTACTTGTTAAAACTACTCTCAAAGCTGCGCTACGGAACTTTTCTTGTGACTCTTTGACTCCATGGAGATGTGCTTGAATGTTCCACAGTACGGCATTAAACTTCTATATCTCTACGTAGACAAACAGGTCGTCTTCGTTCACCAAAAAGCGACACAGTGTAACTTTAACAATTTATAACTTTGAATGTCCCTCCGAACTGTACCATCTAGCGCCAACTCACTTTTAAACACAGAATTTTAAACGTGTTACTGATGTTTTGATTAATCTTGGGGAAAGTTTGAATCAGTGTCTGTGCCGATCTGCCTTTTACCATTTTTGCACTAGCTCGTCGTCGGTATAGCAGTGTTTTAACAAATATGATTTATAATGGTTTATTATATTTTTATACAGGTTTTGTTTAGTACATTTGTGTGTTAAAATAAATGCTGTCGTGTTTAAAACTTTGTGGCTGCTATTTATGATCGTTTTCCTGAATAAATATTTTCCACATTTGTCCGTTTGACGTTTGGTGGGATTGAGTCGTGGTGCAGAATCGCTCAAGTATTTAGTGTTTAGGGTGAAAAGACGATGGTGTAAGACAGAATTGTTGGTTTGGCAAATCAAATCTGAGAATTTTATGAACATACCGACATCAAACCTACTAATGAATACTTTGTTTTTTGTAATCTACCCGACTGTAATAATAATAATAATCGATTTCTCAGCATACGGTACTCCTGAAGAAAAAAAGTGTATTGCAATATATACACAGTCAAACCCAAAATTATTCATACCCCTGACAAATTTTGACTTTCACTATTTTTCTGTTCCGTTGAGAAGGGAAACAGTTTGAACGGAGGTTTGCAGTCACACACATTTGATTCACTTTTGCATTTATGGAGTTCGCAAACTTCCGAAGCCCGTTTTCCGCCGTTAGGACATCAAACAACCACACAATTACGATGTCCAAATCCCAAAACTAAAATATGACAATGTCAGAACGATAAACAAAAGCGATTATGGTTCAAAAGACTTGAAAAGATCGACTTTGTCAATAGACGCATCCCACTGTGAAATCAACATGTCGGTTTGATGCTCACTTTGTCGGAGGGTCCTTCCCAGTATGCATTGCGCGATGACCGGAAGCCCGAGATTCGTGATGCGTGTATTATTTCTACATTTGAAAGTTTTGATAACAGACGTATTCCTTTTTAGAACCACTAAGTCCTTTATTTTTAAGCTTTTCTTTTCAACTTTGGTCCAGAAACTAACACAAAACGGATGTAAAACTATGATAAATATTCACCACAAGTGAATATCACCAAACCAAGTACAAGTAAATAGAAAAAGTTGCCATACACCCTTTAAGATCGGGCTAAAAGAGGCAGGTTTTACGCCGAAGCAACCCTCTCCATTTATCCAGGCTGGGGACTGGCACAGAGGGACACACACAGCGCCCCCTGTGGCTGGATTAACCCACCGCCCGTGTTCGTACAGAGTTAGTGTGTTAGTACGTGCGTGCAGACATACTCACAGTAAACAGCAGCAGCCTTTGGACCTGTAAAGACTAGTTTAAAAGTTTAGTAAAACAGTTTAGAGCTGCAATGAGAAGAGTCAGAAGAGTTAGGGTTAGAACTGTCATTTCACAAGACAAGCCCAAAACTATTTTACAACAAACACAATGGCAAAATTAAAGAGATTTAACCTTTAAAACCTGTAAAGTTAAAACAATGATTAAACAGAAATGTCAACGTATTTCAAACAAACAGATCCTGTGCAAACCTGTGGAAGAGTTTGATTAGGACACGATTACAAGACTTTCAGTTTAGTGTCAGGGTTAGGACCAGAGCCATCAGACTCTGTAAACCAGTCCAAATCTGGCCCATGTTTAGACCAGTTCAGACCAAACCAAATATAAAACATACACACAACCCAAAGATCAAGTCTGTTTTCAGACCTTTTTAACTCCAAATGAAACTGCAGAAGGGTTAGTTTACAATAAGTAATATCAGTTTCTCCCAACCATAACATGTTTAAATCTGGCCCATATTTAGACCAGTCGAGGCACACACCAAAAACACACAAGGGCCCAACCCAAGTGCAACCTGTGGAAATTATGATGTAAACAATTAATCTGGCCCACTCCACATTTAGACCAGATAAGACCAAGAGAGACCAGCAGTCTCCATAAAAGTGAGCCAACGTTTAGAATATAACCCACTTTTGGACCAGTTTAGGCCCAAAACTAAAGCCTGTAACATAAAATCCTCAGCATATTCAGGTCTTGTTTTGAGATGATTCACAAAGAAATGTCACCTACCTGAGTTAAAGTCTGCATGAACAGACCAATAAAACCAGTGAAACCTGCAGCACGGAAAGATCCTGTAAGATTATGTGGGTCACAAACCCAAGGTCAAAGGGTCAGAACTATTACAGTCAGACCTCAAAAAAGTGACAGAACACAAGGGCCTCAACCCTTGGACCAAAACTCAAGTCAAGATGAGTGGCTGAGCACTCACTCACAGCAAGAAGGTTCCTTTGTGTGCAGAATCTGCACAGGTGTACGGCAGCAGCTCACTGCTCCTGACAGGCTGCCCCAGCAGCACTGTGTTGATGATGAATGGGTCAAATGTAGAGGGAGAATTTCCCTCAAAAATTCCCTACGAAAATATACTGTACCTTAAGATTATTAATACACTGTACTTTAAGATTATTCCAAATGATCAGGTTTTAAAACGATGTGGGTTTCTCCAACCTGAAAACTAGAGGGTTAGTCAGTAACATACGGCAGACATGTTTTAGCTTTAGCTGTTTTCAAATAAAATAAACTAACATCTGCTACAGTTGTTGCAGATGATTTTCATGTCTCACAGTTGCAAGACATGAAGTACATTTAGCTTAGATTAACTATGAACTATTTAACAATGATAATAATAATAAACTGACACCTGTAGAAGGGTTAGAGGACACCACCCAAACCTGCAAACACAAAGGAAATGTTAGAAACAAAATTATAAAATACTAGTGTAGTTCAACAAAACAGCTTTAAACTCACCTTTGGGTCTTTGGTGGAAAGCTGACTGAAGCCCAACCCAACCCAACCCAAAACAGAGTTTAGGTAAACTCTTCCAGGAAGGTGCTCTGCATCAGTTCTTTCATTCAGTCCATATTTTGGAGCAGAGCCTCTGATATACGATTTTCCAAACTTCTTCTTAGTTCTTGGGTCCTTTTTAACTTCAGATGGAGGCAAAGGTTCATTTTTCACTGGTCAGAAACACTCTTTAGCTTCTATAGCAGTAGTAGATCTCACAGAGCTGCTGTAAAAGGGTTAGACACAAACCTAAAACCTGAAAACTCCAGGGTTAGTCAGTAACATATGGCAGACATGTTTAACTTTAGCTGTTTTCACAAAATAAACTAACATCTGCTACAATTGCCGCAGATGATTTTCATGTCTCACAGTTGCAAGACATGAAGTAGATTTAGCTTAGATTAACTATGGACTATTTAACAATGATAATAATAATAAACTGACACCTGTAGAAGGGTTAGAGGACACCACCCAAACCTGCAAACACAAAGGAAATGTTAGAAACAAAATTACAAAATACTAGTGTATTTCAACAAAACAGTTTTATATTCACCTTTGGGTTTTTGGGGGAAAGCTGATGGACGTTCAACCCAAAACACAGTTCAGGTAAACTCTTCCAGCAAGGTGCTCTGAGTGCATGACTATTTTGGTTAATTATGCACTTGTTTCAATTTTACTATTACCAGTCACCCCAAACCCGCACGAAACGCAATACAAGGGCCCAAAACCAAGTGCCACCTGTGGAAATTAAACATTAAAATGCAGTCCACATTTAGACCAGATCAACCCATGAGAGACCAGACAGTCTCCATCAACGTGTGTGTAGAATCTGACACATTTGAACCAGTTTAGGCCCAAATCTGAGCCGTTAAAATCCTCAGCATTCAGATCTTGTTTTGAGAGGACACCAGGTAAATAAAAAAAAGAAAGAATAGATGTTTTAGGATTTGAGGGTTACACCATGACCATTGTACAGTTGGAAGCATTTGCATACGGTTTTATATTTCCAGGATAGGTGAGAGATTTTTATTTTCCAAGTAGGTTTTCATCCCATTTGAAACCTTTGATGACACTTTCCACTTTTTGTATTGCACTTGTTTAAATTCGCATGTTTGAGTATTTTATGGCAGGTCCTGTACCGTCCTTATATCATTCAAGTTTGGAAAGTGATCATTTAATTCCCACAAATGTATCATTCATTTCATATAATTCTGAGTCATTGTGTTCCAGTTCATTGACCCAACCTTGGTGTACATGTTTAAACCTTTGAAAAACACGGTTTCACCCTTTGTGATAAATGACATTTTCACACATCAAAATACCGAGAGATTTTATTTGAGACAAGTTTTGCTTTTGTTTCATGAGTTTCGTTTATGGCATAGTTTCCTTCATTTTACTGACAAAACCTTTTGCATTTGTTTTCAAAAAAGGTCTTTCTGTAAGTTTCCTTTTACCAGACAGTTTCAGGACACAAGGCCGCACCTTCATGTTTCCCTTTAAAATCCAGCTTTTTCAATGAACCATCATTTAAAACACATCCACAGAGTGAAATAAATTTCCTTTCAACGAAAGCATCATGATCATTTGAAACTCATCACATCATCTCTTTATTTATTTCAATTCACTTTGCACATTGCAGAAACGTGAATCAGAACGCGGAATAAAATATGCACCAGCAGCAGCTTCATTCATCAAACATTTACAACCGAACAGTACGTAAGTATTGCAATAATGTTTCCGTATCCACAAAAAAAAAAACTCACCTGGACTCGTAAGACTCACCTGGACTCCTCCGTGCTGTTTGTCGAGCTGATGGCGATTTGGGTCGCGCTGCATTTTTGGCGCGTTTTTCTGAATTGCGCGGGTCCTGCGCCGATGGCTCCACGCCGCCTTTTGTTTCTTTGTTGCTAAAAACGTCGCGCGGCCGTGAGAGGAGCTTCCTCTGACATAAAGCAGCGTTTGAAGACACATCAAGAGTGACTTTAGTGAAGCTGTCGACAAACAAGACGAGTTGGCTCTGCTCCTCGGTGCCACGTCATCAGCTGACAGGTCCCTTACCTGTGCAGGTGAGCGCCATTTTTAAAGAACCCAGCATACATCTGTGCTCACGTGACCACGCCCACCTGGCGGGAATCACCATAACAACTATCCCAAGGTATCTATGTATCTATCCAGTGTTTCCCGTAGCACTCGAGTTAAAGCGTCGCCTTGAGTACGTTCCTCCGAACCACGTGACTCCTGCAAAACTCCGGTCATCGCGCTGAATCTCCGCGCCCCCGGCTCCTCACTTCTTCTCCGTGCAAAGAATCTCCCCGTCTCACAGACATGAGAATAAAGTGTGTGCTTCACACAGAGCAGAAAGAACAATATTTCCGTGCACAGTTTATGAACAGCACAAACACTTCAAGCTTTAAGTCTTTATCAGGACACAGGCTGTTTTATGATCATAGGATCCATGTTTGGATGCAGCACCTTCATTTTCTGTGAAAAATCCCTAAGCTGCCTGTTAAACATAAAACTATTGCAGCAGTTCTTTAATCGTGCAAATAGAAAATACTTCAGTGCTGCTTGTCGGCCTAAATGATCTGCACATACGAGTGTGAGTCTCATATAGACTTGAGATGATTTTGGCCAATTTGATATTTGGCATATTTTGAGAGAACAAACTCTATGTAATGTGAAATAAAGCAACAGCGCCAACAGTTTATTGTACAATATCTACAATTTATTGTTAAAAACGGCAACTGTAGAGTTTTGAGTCCTCACAGACACTGAAATCTGTGTCATTCGTTCATTCGTTTTTCAATATAAAACCAAAAATAAGAAAACGGAAAAACAACTGTTTTCTTCATTATTTGTCTCCGTGACTGGGATGTCGGACTTTTACACTGCATACGTACTGAACCAGGACTGATCCAGGTCCGAGACCAGAGTGGGACAGAGACCGGGACCAGCGGTCCGAACGGTTCCATATCATCATCTGCGCGCTGGTTCTGTGCAGGGAAAGAATGTTCTGTGGACCACAGGTTCGGACGGGCTGCTCCGGTCCTCAGCGCTCAAGAACCGCAGCTGGTTCCAAGGCGGTGCAAAGCATCCGGACAGAAGCATGAGTCCAGTTTGGTTGGTTATATTGTTTTGACCATTCGTCCTCCACACATTTGGTTCTTCCCCGGGAAAAGCAGATCTCAGGCCGAGGCTCCTAACATCACTCCCCGCTCCAGCTCATCTGAGCCCGGCCAGAACCGGAGCTGCTCCCGCTGGTTGGAATAGTTCGTTTGGACCTGCTGTCTCTGGTTTGGACCCGAGTCACACCAGAAGAACCGCACCAAAATTTGGTATTTGGTGCAGATTCAAGAGAACCGAGACCACCTCTTTCTTGATGTCTTGATTTGGTGCTGGTCTGAGTCCGACTGACACCAACGAAAACAAACCGAACTAAGAGCTTTTGGTTCGAATGGATCGAACCAACTACTGTCTGTGTGAAAGCACCCCGAGACCGGGACCAGACTGGGACTGAGACCGAGACCAGACCGGGACCAGACCGGAGGCTCAGAGCCCACGGCAGGGCTGGAACTCGAAGCTGGGACTCAGACCCCGCGGAGGCTTGGAGTCAAAGCTCGGAGTCCGCTCTGGTCCCGCTCTGGTCCCGCTCTGGTCCCGCTCTGGTCCCGCTCTGGTCCCGGTCTCAGTCCCACTCTTGTCCCGGTGTGGTCCCGGACCTGGATCAGTCCTGGTTCAGTCCGTACGCAGTGTAAAACTCCGACATCACAGTCACAGAAGTCACATAAACGGGAAACGGTCGTTTTCTGTTTTTTTCCATTCTTCATTTAAACATAAAATCGAAAACTGAAAAAACGAATCGTTTCAAATCACTCTGAACTCCCAGTGTCTCTGTACTCATCTGCTTTTCTCTGCTGGGTCTATTTGCTGTCAAATGCCAAGGTTATTAGAGCTTGATCCGGAGCACCGCAAAAACACTGCTTACTCCACTGCCAGGTCTCCATCCCATTTTTATTTTGACATTTGAGTTAAATAGAATAATATATTAAAATATTGCAATAATACAGAGTTGTTAATCGCTATGTCGCAACATTTTACAATAGTTTACATAATTCTGTGATAGAGAAGGTTTAATAATAAAATTACTATTAAATATGTTATGGTGATGTAATGAAGTGCCTTATTCATGGTTTTGAAGCTGAAACAAGACAATTTAATCACTTGTCCATTTAAATCATAATTCCAATCTAAAACTAGTTGAGTATCTGGTCTATTACAGACTCCAGCCGTATTTTTGTACAAAGAGGTTTTATGACTCAAGAGGTAAAATGACAGGAAATGTACATTGACATTTGTTTTTAATGAAAACGCTTTGTAAATATTCTCCATCACCAGGCGGCGTCACTTTGGCTTCCTCTGGGTCAAATGTACAAAATCAGATTCACAGGTTTTATGCAAATCGAAACAACTAATTGATTAGCTGAAGGAATAATTGATAGATTAATCACTATTGATAAAATAATTGTTAGTAGCACCAGGAGGACACTCACCCAGATACAAAACATGCAAACTCCATTCAGAAAGGCCCCACAGAATCCAGACACAGAACCTCCTGTGGGGGTGACAGGGTGAACCACTCACCCTGTCACTTCTGCCAGGAGGAAACTCACTTTAGACTGACAGGTGAATGTCCGTCTGAGTTTGGTACAGATCATGTGACACATCTGGTCCCAACATCAAGAAAACACCGTTAATCCAAAACATTTATTTATAATAAAATTAATATTTCAAATCTTTTTTTTTTTTTTTGTAATAAAGAGGTACTATTCCTTGAGAGGAGAGAGTGTGGCTCGGACACTAACATCATCTAAAACATGTCATGGCTGACCTAGTTCATCAGAATCATTCACGTTTGTTTGTGTGATCTCCACACGGGGTACAGTTTATTACACTCAGACAGAACAGTGTTGTGTAGAAAGTGTCCGCCGCCGCTGCGTCACGGCTCTGGTTTGTACGAGGAGGGGGGGCTGGCTCCGCTCGGGCTCGGCTCTGCTGTGGGGGGCTCTGAGGGGGGAGAGGCGGGGGTCTGGGGGGGCTCCTTCTGTACCAGCTCTGGCTCGTCCTGACCCGCCTGAGGGGGGTGCACCAGCACTTTGTCTATGAGGCCAAAGTCCTGCGCCTCCATCGGGCTCATGTAGCGATCCCTCTCCATCACTCCCTCTGCAAAACAAACCCGAACATCACTGCATTTACACCACACAGGAGGAGAAGGATCAAGACTTTTTCATCCAAAGCCCCCGTCGTGTCTCACCGATGGTCTCCAGAGGCTGCCCCGTGTGCTTGGCGTAGATGTTGTTGATCTGTCTCTTTAGTTTTAGGATCTCCTCGGCCTGAATGGCAATGTCTGTGGCCTGGCCCTAAAAACACAGATCAAGTTTATGTTACAGAAGCGATCACTCTGCAGGACAGACAACGCTTCAAAATCCTGACATTTCAACACACTTTCTGACGCCACAATAAGAGCTGCACTAGCACGGATTCATGACCGGCTGCAGGTGCTGGGGTTTAGGCAGGGACTATTCAGGTCAACTGGATCTCAGCAGTGAAAATAGCAACGCAAATGTGAGACTCATGTGAGGCTCAATATGATTTCTGATTTGCTTGTCTAGAGGAATATCCAAACATCTAATATTTTTGTACTTAAAAATAATAAGAAAAAGAATAATAATGTATACGTTTTTAAACTTCATCCTACTCCTTTTGAGCACCAGGTTCCAAATATGTCCATGTACATATCCTTATTTTGTTTAGTTTTTTTCTTAGTGTTGTAGGTTTTGTTTTACCTTGCTCAAACTAAAAGAATAAACCAGCATGTAGTGTCAGTATTATTTACTTTAATTTCATTTACATTAAGTTACTGACAATACACATAACTTAATTCCCTTCATTTAGACTTATATTCTAATTTGAGTGAACACATTTTAGTTCATATAAGTCTGATTTACTTTTTTGTTTTATGAGCACCGGACGGAGGACCCTTGGGAGAGACCATCGTGACTCAACAAGGGGGGAGGGAGCACTATTTAGTTAGTGTAAGGTCCAAACATTTGTGAAGCCATAGTTGACGTTTTGCGCACCTTGTTCCACCTTTTAAAATACCTCAAAAACAAAAGAATCCACGGAGCGCGAGTTTAAAAACTCTTTACTGGGGACTCACATTATTAGGACAAACAAATACAAACCAAAAAGGGGAACTTTTACGTATTGGTGACAGGAGGTCAAAAAACTGTTTGGCTCCACTCCACCCTCCCATGATGCACCTGCACACGTCTTAAATAAGGAGCCATTGACACAAAATAATACAAACATTAAACATCACTTAAGTAAACTTATGATTAACATGAGCAATAATTAATTGAAAGAAAAATTTAAATAGATCAAATTATTTTTTAAACAAATAATCATGTTAACCATAAAGAATGACCAAAATACCAAAAAATCATGCATTTTAAGTAAATATTAAATCAAACAAAATAAGAATAATTATCTCAGTTATGAAAAAAAACTACAAAACTGGGTTTAGGCTCCCACAGTTAGTTTTATTAAGTTAGTTTGTTTAGTTTGCTTTAAGGTCACTTTATTATCACTTATTATTTTCTGGAGTATAATTATTTGCCTTTTTGTTACTTTGATTAAGTTTGTAGTTTAGTTCGTTGTTTAGTTGAATTCCTCCCTCTTGTGTTCAGCTTTAGTTGGTCCTCAGGTATTTAAACACCTCTGTTCCTTTGTCTGGTTGGGTTCGTTTTGTTCTGTTCAGTTTGATTTTGAGTTTCCCCAGTTGGGCCCGGCTTTTTTGTTAATAATTTGCCAAATTTGAGCCTTTGTTAAATTACATCTTTTTTGACTTTATTAAATTTGTACTTATTTTTATACCTTTGCCTTTCTGTTTGATCCACTACACAGCATTACAATTGTAGTGCATTATAATTCCCCCAACCAAATAACCTTGATCTTACCCTGGCGCCCCCTGATGGCTGGTGCACCATGATGCGTGCGTTGGGCAGGGAGTGCCTCATGCCCGGGGTGCCCGCGGCCAGCAGCAGGCTGCCCATGCTGGCCGCCTGCCCCACGCACCAGGTGGAGATGGGGTTCAGGATGTACTGCATGGTGTCGTAGATGGCCAGGCCCGCGGTCACCACTCCACCTGAACAACAGCAGGAGGACAGATGCTCAGAGGACGGCGCACCAGAGCGTTCAGGACACACACACAAGAGAAACATTTTGTCTCACACGCACATGAAGGACAGAGACACCGCACGCTTGTGTTTTTAGGAAAGAACTGCTACACACGAAGGACACGAGAGTCACATGATCGAACGGGGTCGTTATGAAAACAAGCACGAGGAAGAGTGCGCTGAGAGAGACTTTACGTGTTCTCTTGTTCACAAAGAAAATGAAACAGATATTTTAATCGCAAGACAACAAGTACAGGTTGTCACAGAATTCAAATATCTTGGATTATACATAGACTCAAATCTCAATTTCAAAACACATATTCCAAAAGTTTGCAAGAAGATAAAATTCAGTTTATCTAATTTCCGTTACGTCAGAGACTCATTATCAATTGAGGCAGCAAAATCTTACTTTTTTGCCCTCATCCTCTCACATATCACATACTGTATCATCAGCCGGTCTAATACATCACTCACAACAATAAAACCCTTTGAATCACTTCTAAAAACACTTGACAAAAAACACTACAGATACCACCATTGTCACATTTTGCAGAAATACAAATTAATGACCTGGGACGATCTTATTAAATTTAAAAATATCCGTCTAATGTACAAGATTAAACATGGCTCGGCCCCCCCTTCGCTAAATCACTTTGTTCATTTCAGATCTAGTGAGGGCAGAGTGACCAGAGGAGCAGTGAGGGAAGACTGTATTATTCCTCATAGAAAAACTGTATTTGGTCAGTGTGTTTTCTCTTTCGTCAGAGCGTCTCATCAGTGGATCTTTGTGCCTGAAGCCGTCAGAACATCTCCCTCATTCTCTGCTTTTAAAAAGAATGTTAAAAAGTGGCTTTTAGAAACGCAAACGTGTGAACACTAAAACTTTTATTGTATTTTTGTAATCTTATTGTACATTTCTGTAATTTTTGATGTGTAACTTTTAAGTGTATTTTCTTTTAGGATGCCTTTTTGACATCTGGCAAAGGGACTACCGAAGCAAATGAGCTCTTATCAGCGAACTCGGGCACGTTTACATTGTTTTGATGTTGATTAATGTGCATTGTCCCTTTTCAAATAAATAAATGAAGACACGTGTGTGGATTAAATCCTGTTTATAAAGGCTACAGGGGCTTTTTATTCATTGTGCAGTGTGATCTGAAGGTAAAGAGCCCGTTACAGTCGTCGTAGCCATGCTGAGGAGTCCAAAGGTTTGCACAAGCTCTGGTGGAGTCCTCCGTGCCATTTGTACAGATGAACTCTTTCCCCCATGAAGACGACATCTGACCCGCCCTTGTTTCCTTAATGACGTGTTTTGACACCTCCGCTGTGTCACTAAAGACGTGATTTGTCGACCATTAGAAACGGCTCCGGTTTTTCACATGTAAACAGAGGCTGTGATAGGTCGGGGCCACTACAACTCATACTAGGCAGAACAATAGGCTTCAAGGATGCGTTTTCGCAGATTTTTTTTACGACGATTGTAGCTTTTGGAAAAAACACAACACGAAACACGGCGCGCAGTTTTACAAATAATGAGGAGCGGACGTATTTTATGGATAACTTTGGAGAAAGCGATTTTTATACTGTTTCTGGTGATAAGAAATCTGTTTAAACCCTTTGACAAATATATTTTTTTACATTTTCTTTAATGAATATAGTACTCAAAACATGCATCAGATGCTAAATGTAGTTTTTTGTTTTCGATTTTGCACCTGACCAGGTAAACTCTCATTTTCAGTGAGCTGTTATACACCTGTAAATGAGTTGAATCACATTTAAACATCCATAAATAAAGAGTTCAGAGTCTAAGGTTTCTAGAAATACCAAATATGTCTGTGTTTCAGTAAAGTTTGTGAGTGTGAAAATCATTTATAATCACTTGTGGAAGTCTGTTTTCTTTTATGCAGTTATGCTCTATGGGCAGCCCTCGTCATACATGCATGGGTTGTTCCTAGTAGATGTCCAAGGGGGAAAGAGTTAAGAGTCGTCACTTGGCGCTTTCTGTCTGTGATAAGCTTTAAAACAGCCAGTCATAAAGCCCAACAAAGAGCTGTAACAGAATTGCAATGAGCTCTACTTGCGCCATGTATCTCAAAACTTGTATAAGGTAAATCAGTTTTAAAACTTGGATAAAAGTCCTCTGACGTGCAGCCATTGTTAAGCAGCGTCTATCAATTCCAACAGAGTTATATGAGAACATTACAGGGAGTATGCGGAATTATTTTACAAATCATTTACAGCAGCAAACTTTTCTCATCAAGGGGCACATCGTGAAACATATTTTAAGTGCTAATAATCCATTGAACCATTTCAGAAGGTTTGACGACCAATAAGAACTGTCCCCTGGGCCGTAGTTTGGACCGGTCTGATTCAGAGTGAAGGACGTGTTTACCTGGGCTGTTGATGTACATGTGGATGGGTTTGTTGTTGCTCTCGGACTGGAGGAAGAGCAGCTGCGCGATCACCAGACTGGCTACAGAGTCGTCAATCTGAAGAGAGAGAAGAAAGATGTTCAAAACGAATACGTACTATAGATGGATAATGGAAACAGGTCTGATCCAGAAGGTGTTGGATATAATTTAGCAATTTAGTCAGTGGAAAAGCTGCAAACAGATCCATGCTGTGCTCTTCTAACACTCACAGGGCCCATGACACAGATGATCCTCTCTCTGAGCAGACGGGAGTAGATGTCGTACGCCCGCTCTCCCCGGCCCTGCACAAACAAAAACAGATCAGGTGTGAATGCAAAATCATCTATTGGACATACATATGGGAAAAAAAAAAAAACATCCAGAAAAGATATGAAACTTCTAGCTTTACCCTAAAGAAATGTCGGTCACATTACTTGAAGGGCATCATTTTGAAACTAAGGGCATTATTATTGCCTGGGATCCACAATTCACACTTCATCAATACTTTACGAAGACCTGAGTCTGGTCACCGGTGAATCCCAGAGTTCAGAGGGGTGTGATTGACAGGTGGATTAGCCAATCAGGGACACGCATGGTCTGTCCGTATCCGAAAAAATATGGCTGCTTACAAGGAAAAAATAAATAAAAACAATCACAGGGGACTGAAAAACATGGCAGATTTCTGCAGAATGAATGAATCAAGAAAGAAACTAAACTTTGAACTAAACTGAGGTGAGATAAATTACATTTTGTTCAAAGTGACGAGATCTTTGTTTCACATGTCACTCAAATAGAGCATAAATTCAGGCTCGAAGACCTGACTTCACTCCAGTCTACCTCACCCACCTCAGTTTGTGCCCTACCTCCTCCCCAGCATCCCCTCGGACACTCATCCTCTCATGGTCTCCTTCACTCTCCTCATCCTCTCATCGTCTCCTTCACTCTCCTCATCCTCCCATCGTCACATCGTCCCCTTCACTTTCCTCGGCCTCACCTCTACCACCTCCAGTGTCCGAAATTAACTCATTCAATAAAACTACTAATATTTTCTCTTTGTGTCTGTCTCAGTCTTTAGAAGTTGAAATAAATGAATCTGATTGGACAGCTGTGTTTGGTTTGCCTCGAGTCGTGACGGAGGGAGCGATGATCAGACTGATCAGATCACAATTACATTTTTATCACGATTTCGCCTGCTCTGACCCAAGGCAGTGTCTCTGTCAACAGTAAGGCTGGGTATCATTAAGAAGATGCCGATACGATACTCACCTCAATACCTAGGTCACAATACGATACATATCGATTTGAAAAAGGCTGATTTTCTACTAAAATATTTTAATTATATTTTCTATTAAAATCTTGTTAATTTTCTGTGGTGTTTATCACAGCAGCGTCTCCAGCGTCTCTGTACGTGGCCCCTCCCACCAGAGCAGCACAAATGAAGACTTGTCTCTTTCCAAACGCTCTTAAAGGACGATCGTTTTGACTGTTGACCGTGACACCCTCATCAGAAAAATGTCCAACATGAGAAAAGTGGAGCCGAGTGCAGAATTTTCCAAGAAAAATGCACTTATTCCTATTTACATACAAGTTCATGTTAAAACTTTGTGTTGAAATTGCATTTTTCTTAAAGTTTCAAGTTGTTCATAATATTATAATATTTTGTAAAAGAAAGAGTTCATCAATTAAAAAAGATTTCTGTAATAGATTTGCGCACAAATATTTGAACTTATTGTTATTTTTGGGGTTTATATGCCATGTTTCTGATCCGGCCCCTTTGGGATCAAAGTAGTTTGGATACGGCCCCCGGACCAAAATGAGTTTGACTCTCCTGCACTAAACAAACAACAAAACTGTAGCACTGTAACAAAATGATTTAGTAAAATATACCAAAAAATACTCTTGGTGACATATCGATACAGCAGCTCACGATATCGATACTGTATCATGACATTAAACTATACGCTATATTGATATTTCAATATTTTTGCAAACCCCTAGTCGACAGCCAAATGCCCTTGTTTAGATCTCTACATCATGGTTATAATCCTGTGCTCACCGTCTGCTCCACCACTATGGGGATGAGAGGACTCCTCCAGACCGGACTGTGATGGACGGACCTGCTCTGTCGGACCACCACCCCTCCAACGTGCAGCAACCTCTGAGAAACAAACAAGGCAAGGCAAGTTTATTTGAACAGCACAATTCGCACGCAAAGTCATTCAAAGTGCTTCACAGAATAAGGAATACATTTAAATCACAAAAACAAATCAAAACATAAATAATCATCATGAAATTAAAAAGAGAGAAAGACGTTAAATGAGAGAGAAGAGTGCAGAATGAAAACCTTTCAGTCATATGAGCAGCTAAACACAACTGTTTTGAGCCTTAAACAGAGTCAAAGTAGAGGCCTGTGTCACATTTTCAAGAAAACTGTTCCAGGTTTTAGCTTCATGAATCTGAACCTCTTGACTCCCCGTGTTTAGTCCTGACTGAGCTCCTCAGAGTGCAGGTGGTTCATATGGAACAAACATGTCACAGATGGTAAATTGTAAATTGTCACATTTTTCTATAGCACTTTTCCACCTTCAAGGCACTCCAAAGAGCTTTACAACAAGCAACCACTCACCCATTCACTCACAGTGCACGCAGACACTGGGGGCGAGGTGTGTTAAGTGTCTTGCTCAAGGACACAATAACAACAACAACAACACAACAACAACAATCTTCAGATTAGTGGATGAATGCTCTACCAACTGAGCTACAGCTGCTAACAGACATGAACATTCACACAGACAGTGGCTCCCTCTTTTCTGCTTCACTCGAGGAAAAACTAAAACTAAAACACAACAATATCCATGCCAGTCCATCTTTCCCACAATCAGGGAATAATTTAGCTCCATAAAACACTTCTTTATAGAAGAAAAATTTATATTTATATAACTGTACACTGTAACTATACAGCAGTATGGATTCTGGTGCTATATATATTCCTTATATATTGTATATTGTATATTCTTGGACATCCCCAGTTTTTCGGTGGTTGTTAATAATAAAACTGTGCAAATTTTCTGTATTTTACCTAAACAAATGACAGTTTATGCTCCTCTTTAATGTTGGCAGGGATCAAATTAGTCCAAAATTTTGATTAGTCCTGGTTTAGACCTGATGTAATCTGGGTTTAGTCTTAGTTTAGTCCTGGTTTAGACCAAATTGTTCAAAAATAGGGACACCAGGGGCATTTCTTGTATAAAACTGTGACATCCCCAGTTATTCTGTGCTTGTTAATAATAAAATTGTGAAACGAGTGTGAAATTAAGGAAAATTGTTCTGCAGAGACCATCCATGACTAACACAGAAGCGAGTATAGTCACATTTTCTTGGTGTTTTGGTCGTTTTTTAAGATGATTTTTTTGTATTTTACCTAAACAAATTAAAATTTTTGCTCCTCTTTAGTCTTTAGTGTTGATAGGGATCAAATTAGTCAAAAATTTTGATTAGTCCTGGTTTAGACCTGATGTTATCTGGGTTTAGTCTTAGTTTAGTCCTGGATTTGGTCAAATTGGACAAAAATACAAAACACACCAGTGACATTTCTTGTGTAAAACTAGAAAATCCGCAGTTTTCAGTGGTTGTTAATAATAAAATTGTGAAACGAGTGTGAAATTAAGGAAAATTGTTATACAGAGACCATGATCATGACTAAATTTTTAAGCAAATTTTCTGTATTTTACCTAAACAAATGACAGTTTATGCTCCTCTTTAATGTTGGCAGGGATCAAATTAGTCCTAAATTTTGATTAGTCCTGGTTTAGACCTGATGTAATCCGGGTTTAGTCTTAGTTTAGTCCTGGTTTAGACCAAATTGGTCAAAAATAGGGACACCAGGGTCATTTCTTGTATAAAACTGTGACATCCCCAGTTATTCTGTGCTTGTTAATAATAAAATTGTGAAACGAGTGTGAAATTAAGGAAAATTGTTATACAGAGACCATTCATGACTAAGTTTTTAAGCAAATTTTCTGTATTTTACCTAAACAAATGACAGTTTATGCTCCTCTTTAATGTTGGCAGGGATCAAATTAGTCCTAAATTTTGATTAGTCCTGGTTTAGACCTGATGTAATCCGGGTTTAGTCTTAGTTTAGTCCTGGTTTAGACCAAATTGGTCAAAAATAGGGACACCAGGGGCATTTCTTGTATAAAACTGTGACATCCCCAGTTATTCTGTGCTTGTTAATAATAAAATTGTGAAACGAGTGTGAAATTAAAGAAAATTGTTCTGCAGAGACCATGATCATGACTAAGTTTTTAAGCAAATTTTCTGTATTTTACCTAAACAAATGACAGTTTATGCTCCTCTTTAATGTTGGCAGGGATCAAATTAGTCCTAAATTTTGATTAGTCCTGGTTTAGACCTGATGTAATCCGGGTTTAGTCTTAGTTTAGTCCTGGTTTAGACCAAATTGGTCAAAAATAGGGACACCAGGGTCATTTCTTGTATAAAACTGTGACATCCCCAGTTATTCTGTGCTTGTTAATAATAAAATTGTGAAACGAGTGTGAAATTAAGGAAAATTGTTATACAGAGACCATGATCATGACTAAGTTTTTAAGCAAATTTTCTGTATTTTACCTAAACAAATGACAGTTTATGCTCCTCTTTAATGTTGGCAGGGATCAAATTAGTCCTAAATTTTGATTAGTCCTGGTTTAGACCTGATGTAATCCGGGTTTAGTCTTAGTTTAGTCCTGGTTTAGACCAAATTGGTGAAAAATAGGGACACCAGGGGCATTTCTTGTATAAAACTGTGACATCCCCAGTTATTCTGTGCTTGTTAATAATAAAATTGTGAAACGAGTGTGAAATTAAAGAAAATTGTTCTGCAGAGACCATTCATGACTAAGTTTTTAAGCAAATTTTCTGTATTTTACCTAAACAAATGACAGTTTATGCTCCTCTTTAATGTTGGCAGGGATCAAATTAGTCCTAAATTTTGATTAGTCCTGGTTTAGACCTGATGTAATCCGGGCTTAGTCTTAGTTTAGTCCTGGTTTAAAACAAAACTAGGGACACCAAGGACATTTCTTGTATAAAACTGGGACAGGTCATTGGTTTTGGATAAATCTGCTGGGACAGGGGACACAGGGCTCAAAACTGGGACTGTCCCGGGTAAATAGGCACGTCTGGTCGTCTTTGGCACAGGTTCTGGTACAGGTTCTGTCCCAGGTTCTGACTATGACAAAGCACGCACAGCTCAGTCCACATGAAGGATCTGAGGGCTGTTTATACTCGAGCTACGCGCTAACAGGATAAACCCGGAGAGCAGCACGTGGACACGGGTTTTCTGCAGGAGTTTAGTGAGAAATAAAAGATAAAAAGCGCAGTACTCACTCGTAACAGCATTTTGTGAACTCTCACTCCGCCGTGCGCGACCTGTGTGAACCGGAAACATTAGCGCGAATCACCTCTGAGCGGTTTGATGCACGCAAACAGCGCCATCTTGTGGACTTTTAGTGTTATTACTTAGACTTTATCGATCCACGGGAGAAATTATTCGGACACAGAAGCTCACAAATTCACAAAATAATAACAAATAATAGCAAAGAGTAAAAAAAAATATAAATGATAAAAATAAATTAAATAAAAGAAGCAAAAAAGAGACAGGTGTCAAATAAGACATAATTATATAAATGAAAATGTACAAGTCAAAATAAAATAGAAAAATACGTAATAAAATATAAAATCTCATAGCATTATCCATTACATACGGGTGAGTTTTTGTACAGTTGTAGGGCGTATTATATTATATAAGCATGAGTTGTGGTACAGTTGTAGGGAGTATTATCTGTTACATGTGGATGAGTTGTACAGTTGTAGGGAGTATTATCTGTTACATAAGGGTGAGTTGTTATACAGTTGTAGGGAGTATTATCTCTCACAGAAGGGTGGGTTACTGTACAGTTGTAGGGAGTATTATCTGTTACATAAGGGTGAGTTGTTATACAGTTGTAGGGAGTATTATCTCTCACAGAAGGGTGGGTTACTGTACAGTTGTAGGGAGTATTATCTGTTACATAAAGGTGAGTTGTTGTACAGTTGTAGGGAGTATTATCTGTTACATAAGGGTGAGTTGTACAGTTGTAGGGAGTATTATCTGTTACATAAGAATGAGCTGTTATTCAGTTGTAGGGAGTATTATCTCTCACAGAAGGGTGGGTTGCTGTACAGTTGTAGGGAGTATTATCTGTTACATAAGGGTGAGTTGTTGTACAGTTGTAGGGAGTATTATCTGTTACATAAGGGTGAGTTGTTGTACAGTTGTAGGGAGTATTATCTGTTACATAAGGGTGAGTTGTTCGACCAGAGAAATGCGTCTTGTCCTCTCCAGGTGGGTGGAGAGTCCTTGCCTCAAGTGGAGGAATTCAAGTATCTCGGGGTCTTGTTCACGAGTGAGGGGAGGACAGGAGCAGCTTCGGCAGTGATGCGGTTGCTGTATCGGACCGTTGTGGTGAAGAGGGAGCTGAGCTGAAAGGTAAAGATCTCGATTTACCGTCAGTCTTCATTCCTCTCCTCACCTCTGGTCATGAGCTCTGGGTAATGAGCAAAAGGACAAGATCCCAGATACAAGTGGCCGAAATGAGTTTCCTCTGCAGAGTGTCTGGGCGCTCTCTTAGAGATAGGGTGAGGAGCTCACTCACACGAGAGGAGCTCGGAGTCGCTGCTTCTTCACATTGAGAGGAGCCAGTTGAGGTGGCTCGGGCATCTGTTCTGATGCCTCCTGGGCGCCTCCCTTGAGAGGTGTTCCAGGCATGTCCCACCGGTCGAAGACCCAGGACACGCTGGAGGGACTATGTCTCTGGGCTGGCCTGGCCCCCGGAGGAGCTATTGCTACACCATAACTCTTAATTTAAGCAAATAGATTTGATATATTGTAATGGTCCATGTAATTGTAATTCGATATATTGTGATGGTCCACGATATTATTTTGAGATCTTTGATGATACGATATTACAATATTTCGCTTATTGTTACATGCCTGATTGTTACTTTTAAGTCAAATCGTAATTTTTGGATGTTCCTTCTCACCAAGTTTAAGTAGTCTAGTTTCTGCCAGAATATTCCGGTGATGTTAAACAGATCGTGCTCATAAGTAATGCTGGTTTATTCTGGAGCTGGTCCACTCCCTCCGGCCTGTGCGCGCTGCTCATTGGACATGACATGAGCTCTTGTTATTGTGCGCGCTTAGGCCGGATGTTATTTTGAGCCGGGCCAAAGGAGAGACTGTTGAGAGCTGTTGTTGTAGGACTTTCCCTCGTCTGCGCGCTTCAGTACCGCTCCGTGCCGCTCCGTGCCGCTCCGTGCAGACATGTCGAGCAGCGGACCCAGCAGCAGCCTGGTCATGGCGCAGAAGGCGGTGAAGCAGCTGCGGTTCGAGGCGAGCGTCCACCGGATAAAGGTACCGACATTTTCAATCATGTGCGAACTGTGGACAGAACTTTTACTGTGTGTGTGTGTGTGTGTGTGTGTGTGTGTGTGTGCGCGCGCGTGCGTGACTCCCGCTTTCTCAGGCTGCAGCTGTGGCACGCGCTCCAGTCGAGACACTAAAGTTTGACAGTCCCATAAAGACACAGTAAAGAATATACAGTATATACAGTATACATATACAGAATATATATATTTAGAACCTCTGGACAGTCCTGAGCTGTGGTTAGTCTGAGGAAAAGAGAATACTGTACATCAGACATGTCAAAGTCAGGCCCGGGGGCCAAATTTGGCCCGTGATATAATTATATTTGTCCCGTAAGATCATATCAGATATGTATTAGAGCTGCCACCGGCTACAGATAGACTATAGAGACATTATTTATTTAAAATGTTGTTATTATTTTATATTTTGCTTGGTCTGGATTCAGTGTTTAAGCAAAACTATTATTAAACATTTATTTGAATAAGAAAAGGTTTAACATTACATACCTCGAAAGAAGAAAAAACATACAGATGTTGTTGAAATTTGTCAATAAATACTTAGCTTGGCTCACATCTTAGTCCCAGTTTTTAATTTTGGCCTCTGTGAATTTGAGTTTGACACTTTTGCTGTACATGGATGTAGCAGATAGATGTAGTAAGGCGAGGCAAGTTCATTTGTATAACGTAATTCGCACACAATGTAAGGCTGTGTAATTGTGTGTCAAACAATCTCCAAACTCATAATCGAGTTGAAACGATTAAAGCTTAACACAGTTTATTTTGGGATATGTTAAAATATATTTTAGTATATTTATTTAATTTTTTAAACATAGAGATTGTTGAACAGTTGGATATATAATTTATTTTGGATAATTTAATGTTTTCTCTGCCTTATTTCATGGTCAAAGTATATTTTATTCATTTTTTGTTTTATACATCGCAAAACACTCTAAGGTTCATATCTGTAGCCTAAGTGTATTTTCAATTTGAAAGTTTTGCATAAATTATCAATAACAAAGTGTTTTGTTTTTTTTTGAGAGATGGAGAAATGCTGAATAAATTAATCTTGTAACTAAAAAATAACCGTTTGAAAAATCGTGATTTCAATATTGCCAAAAATAATCGTAATAATGATTTTTTCCATAATCGAGCAGCTCTAACACAAAGTAACTCAAAGTGCTTTACAGATTAAGAAATACATTAAAATAACAATACAAACTAATCAAAATGTAAATAATCATCATGAAATTAAAACGAGAGACAGACATTAAATGAGAGAAGAAGAGCGCAGAATGAAAAATGAAAACCTTTCAGTCAAACGCAGCTGAACCAAACAATTTTGAGCCTGGATTTAAACAGTGTCAAAGTAGAGGCTCGTCTCACATGTTCAGGAAAACTCTTCCAGGTTTTGGCTGCATGAATCTAGTACACAGATGTAGTACAGGAAAGTAATAATAATTTGTCTTAATTCATTTAATTTCAAAACTCGGCAAAGAAGTGGGTAGTTAGTAGCCAGACTGACGCCACCTAGTGCCTCCGCTCAATTTCATTTGTCTGCAGCCCTTTAATGTTTTTAATCCAGCCCGCCTAACGTGAATAATAATAATCCTAATTTGGTAACACTTTACAATAACTACACCTTATTTAGCCTTAATAAAGCATGAATAAAGACTTAATTAATAATGAATAAAGACTTAATTAATAATGATTCACGCTTAGTAAATGTTTAATAAAGGATAATTTGTCTTCACTTTAGAAAAGCTCTCAAAAAGACTTAACTAACAGATAACAGCTGCCTGAATTATCATTGTATTGTATTGTATTATTAGTAAATCATTCTCTCATGGCTTATTAATGATTAATAAATGCTCAAATGGTTAGTTTATGAGTAGTTAAGTATGAAATAATTATGAGTAACTATTTACAGCACAGGCAAATTAAGTGCAAGTGCAAGTAGTTACTAAGCGTGAATCATTATTAATTAAGTCTTTGTTCATTATTAAATAAGCCTTTGTTCATGCTTTATTAAGGCTAAATAAGGTAAAAGTAATTTCAATAAATAGTAAATACTGTGGGACTTGAAAGACAGATTTTTTGTTGTAATGTTTTGTAATGATGTTCAATTATGGGATATTTCAATAACATGGGATATTTTTTTTCTCTTATGAGGTGGATTACCAAAAACCACCATCCATTTGCTCCTGATCTGGCCCTTCCATCAAATTTTAGAACCCTTTGTGACCCACGAGTCAAAACGTTTGCCCACTCCTGCACCAGACGGTTCACAAAAACCCCGGAAGTGCGAGTTTGGGCACCAGCCAATCAGCGAAGAGCCAGACATTCTGTGTTGGCAACGATTCCCGAGATCGAGGATTTAAAGCCAGAACAAAGAGAATGTTTGGTGAATTTTATCAAGGGGAAAGACGTTATTGTCCTTCTTCCTATGGGATATGGGAAAAACTTAATATACCGGTTAGCCCAGTTAGCAGGACATTACTAGCCGGTTTTATTTAGTTTCACTTTGTAGAAATCGTCTGACCTCGCAGTGTTAGAATTTATTTGTTTAACTTCTTGGGTTCTTTTTAAAGACAATGCAGTGGCTTTAAAAAGAACCCAAGAAGTTAAAGTATACAAGAAGACAAAATGAACATCATTGGCTTAGAATTCATTCGCTCGACAGTAGGAGGGTACTTTTTATCATTAATCCAATCGCTGCTATTTGGTCGTGGCGTAGGTAATGCGCCGCTAACGGGTCTAACTTGTATATTAATCTTTTCCCAAATCCCTTGGGAAGAAGGACAATAACGTCTTTTTCCCCTTGATGAAATTCACCAAACATTCTCTTTGTTCCGGCTTTAAATCCTCGATCTCGGGAATCGTTGAAAACACTGAATATATGACTCTTCGCTGATTGGCCGTTGCCCGAACTCGCACTTCCAGGGTTTTTACGAACCATCTATTGTATATTGATTCCTGGCCTAGTCACTGGAGAGAAATGACAGGCATTACATACGTCACGACCAAATAGCAGCGATTGGTTAAATGATAAAAAGTACCCGCCTACTGTCAAGTGAACGAATCCTAATGCTGCGGGGTCAGATGATGAATCAGGCTAGTTAGGCTGTGTTCAGACTGCAGCCTGAAGTGACCCAAATCCGATTTTTTGGCCCCTATATGACCTGTATCTGATCTTTTAATGACAGTCTGAACGACACAGATCCGATTTTTTCAAATGTGACCCAGGACACTTGGATATGTGCTCCTAAAATCGATACATATCTGATCTTTGACATGCGACTTCAGTGTGAACGGCCAAAGCGCATTCATTCGACCTACACGTTATCAACAAGACACAAACGTCACTATTCTGCGCTGAAGTAGGCAAAAATTGTTAATAAACTCCGTGTCACTGAAGTGAAGCACATCACCTCTCACCACTCTTGGCTCCGTCTCCATATCCACACGTTCCTTTCAACAGATGTGGCTGCCGCTGACCCACAAAACACCACGGCCAAAAACCTCGTCCTTCTCCTTCTCAATCTCCTCCTTAAAACAAGTAAGTTGTTCATGTTCTGGCTCCGGTACGAGAAGAACTTTAAAATCTCCAGGTGCTCAATGCTCGCGTCCATGTTTGGACAACTTCCGTAAACACAGAGCACGCTCGCTGCAGTTGACGTCGTCGTGTCTCCAGTGCACATGCGGGACACTTTCGGGCCATTTAAAGTTCACACTGGAGATCACATACAAGTCGCATTTAATTGGAAACGTGAACGACCTCGCAAAAACATCGGATTTCACAAAAAAATCGGAATTCAGTGTTAAGCCCTGCAGTCTGAACGTAGCCATAGTTTAAGTTTAAGTAAGTAGTTTAAGTTTGGCAAGCTACATTTACTCAAGGCTACTTTTAAACGTTTAAATACAATTGTCCTAATCAAGTAATAACAAACTAATCTATATTTTAGTCTGCAGTAGTGGCCTATAACTCTCGACGGCCTAAAAGTTTGGGTTGTCATGTGATGTGGCAAGCGATGTTGACAATATTAAAATGATACTATTGTTGTGGTCTGTCCTTTGAAGTGAGTCTTTGTGCATCAGCCTATTCATTGTTTTGTCCTTCCACATTGACGTCAAATTAAAAAAACAGATGTAACGTGCAGACAGCCCATTCAATCACACGAGACGGCCCAAAATATCTTAAAAAGTATTTGAAACCTCCTGTAGTAGTAGTAGTAGTAGTTGGTGTAATTGAGTAGGTGCGCACAGTTTACTCAAGTAACTTATTGCTGATCCAAACGACGAACTTCAAGGTGCATTTTTAAAGGTGACATTTCTAGTAGAGGGTCCACCACATGCGACATTACGGGTCAGATCTGTGGAGAGTCGAACCTATATTCACAGAGAGAATTGTTGTATTTTTGAGCAACAGAAACAGCCATAATGAATAAATGCTTTTGTGTTTTAAGTTTAATGTCGTTCAAGTTAAACCAGCAGGACCGAGACAAACCAGGATTATAAATGAACCAAACCAGGACTAATATCTAAACCAGGACTGGTCAAAGAAGGACAATCATTAAACTGGATGTGGATGAAATGGAAAAAGCAGCGGAAAAAACATTGACGCTTAAAGGGCTGATATTACGCACATTTGTGATCTCTGTTCTAATGTTGTTTCCTCATCACAAACAAACCTGGAGTTGTGTTTTGTTTCATTCACGCATGTTAAATGCACAAATCCTGAATATTTAGACCGAGTTCTTCCCTCAAACAGAAAACACTTCCCCCTTGTGATGTCACACGATAATACAGGAAGTGCTCCGTACACTAAGGCTGCTCGATTATGAAAACAAATCATTATCACGATTATTTTGGTCACAGAGGCCAGAATTAAAAACTGGGACTAAGTCGTGGGCCAAACTAAATATGTATTGAAAAATTTCAACCACATCTACATGTTTTCTCTTCTTTCAAGATATGTAAAGTTAAACCTTT